TCTCACTCAAATTGCTTTCCTCCTATCATTTCTAGACCATGCGGATCCTACGTGTAGATTCCTGGCTTGGCCCTGAATTTCAGGCCCTGCTATCTTACTATTGCCCAGCCCCTCTCCTCCGGGGTGAGGCTATGAGGCCCCTGTCCCTAGCACTCGGCCCCCAGACCTCTGTGTATCTTAGAGAAAAAACAAAAAAGTTTTTCAGATTTCAGATATTTGCTACAAATCAAGAATAGGATGACCTTGATTAAGCGAATCGTACTAACAAGTAACCTGACAAACATGAAAAGCTATAAAATGTAATAGTCCAAAGGGTTCCAAGCACACATGCTCTAAGGATCCCATCTATTTTAAGGAACAATCTTTTGAATGTGTTAGCATTCTATTCTCTCTGAAGAAAAAGCTCTATAGAGAGAGAGGAGTCCAATTTAATAGAAGTGACTGTAGTTGAATGTGTGAAAGTGGATGAAACCAGCCTTGTGAGCAGGTTGACTCAAAGACCCTCTGCTACCTACCGACAGCAATGCCAGCGTACTGCCTAGAAGTGGCAGCTGGAGTCAACTCCTTGCAGCCCGTGTGTTATCATAATGTTATGGTCATAAGGAAACCCCGCTAATGTATGAAATAATTACCATGTGAAATGTTTGCTGTGTGGAAACCCCAATACTCTGTAACTTCCAAAATTGACGAACACCCCACTATCTTGATGTAAAAGCCCTGAGCCCTTAAAGTGTAAATGCTCTGCACCCAGCATAAGGCACACTGTCTGGCCCATGCGGATAAGGACACAAGTTATTTACCATGGTCTATATAACCCTGAGACTGTCTTCAGTTGAGGTCTCCTGCCCGATAAGAGGAGGACTCCACATTGCTCCGAGAGACCGGCCCCTGACTGCTCTGCTGTGTGAGCCTGAACCACCTGAGGCCACTGTCTGTCTCTGTTTTCATCATCCATCCTTCAGTGTGCATTGCTGGGTGGCCCTTTCTGGATCCTAGGACCACTAGGAATAGGTAAATAAACCTTGCATACTAATTCTGTCTTGTGTGTCACATGTTCCGGTTCGCCTCCGCTGTCTGGACATTGAAGTATTGGGGGATAGGCCATTATTGCTGACTCCTGGTCACCTGCGTTGGCCCCACTAAGTCTAGACATATACCGGTAATCAATTAATTGAGGCCTGATTGGGACAATGTGCATGGCTTTGTTTCTTCTACAACCAGCCATCTCTGATATGCATCAACGGCCTCACTCCAAGCCCTTGCCTCTTGCCTCAGTGTTTGCATTGCTTATCCCTTAAACTCTCACACAGCTGTGAATCTCTGCTCTCACACTCATGCGCTGCTTGCTCTCCTCCTGCACGGACAGCAGCCATGTGTGCTCCCGGCTTTCGATGTTTGCTTATTCTTCTAGACCAGATGAGAAATCCAGGATCACCAATGCCATGCATGCTCTTCACCAGCCCTGTCTCCCACCTTAGCATGGCTTTTTCCTGTTTCCACACCCCCCCCCTCCTTTTGTCCCCCTTCCTTTTCACCAGGTTTTCCAATGGACCCAACAGCCTATGAGGCACCTGGTCTCAGGAGGGAGCACATGCTGATTGCTTCCCCACTATTCCCCTCACCCCTCTGCTCATTCATGTTCCCAGAGTTTTCCTTGAGGGAATTTGTTGCTTCCTCCACCTTGGGAAGCCAGAGAGCATGGCTGTTAAAAACATTGGTTCTACGGTCAGACAACCAGGGTCCACTCTACCATGTGTCAACCTTGTGAACTTGGGCAAACTACTGAACTTCTCAGTGCCTGTGAGTAAAATGGGGATAACAATAGTAGCTGCCCTGGACTCTGAACTTCAAGTAGTAACCTGAGTTTCAAGTAGTAAATGATACTCAGGAATTATTCATGTTGTTAGCAGTTACATGTCAGCATAAGAAAAGTTCAAAACTATAGAGGTTTTATGAGTTTATTTGAGCCAAACTGATGACATATGACAGGAAGCAAAATCTTAACAGAGAAAATGCTCCGTAGAATGGCAGTTTTGCAGCTTATTTTATACACTAGTAGCCCTGTGCACGAATCTGTGTGCCAGTAGCTCTCTGCGGGGCCTGGCTGCTCCACACCCACTGCCCAGAGGCTCTCCATGGCACAGAGGCCCATCCATGCCTCAGCTTGGCCAGAGGCCCTCCTCGCTCTGCCGGGGTGGAACACTTGTCTCGTCTGTAGCAACGAAGCAAGCATTCCACCAGGCCACTCATGCTGCCACTCTCAGTGGCCACCTCCCCGGGACTGGGGGACTCCAGCAGGAATGAGGGGACTGGGTGCCGCCATCTTGTGGCTCTGGGCGCCACCATCCTTGTGATGGAGTGATGGTTAATTTGTATATTACCCTTTTACAGATAGGATTAGACTCAAAGGAGGAATCATAAGAAGAGTTACATGAAATCCATTGGTGGTAGATTAAGGAGATGGGAGAAAGCATGGGCTAGGGGGTGGGGAGAGAAACATGGGATTGGATAAAAGGCAAAAGGGAGAAACACTTTTGCACTGATGGGTAGAGAATAGTTAAAAATAAACATTCACAGCACATAGAAATGGTATATGGAGAACAAGGTAACAACGAGAGGTTCTGTGGTCTTGTGCTCTGGGGCTGGTAGTTGTGCTTAAGAGGAGTCTAGAAAATAAAACTAATCTGACATTTCAAAGACATATTATCCTAGACACATAAGAGCAATGGACAGAGCTCACTTAAGGTAAAGGTTGACCTTTGCTACCCTTGCTGGTGTTGCTCAGTTAATACAATACATCAAAGGTCATGGGTTTGATTCCTGGTCTAGGCACATGCCCAGGTTGCAGGGTTGGTCCCTGATTGGAAAGCATACAGGAGGCAACTGATAGATGTTTCTCTCTCACATCAGTGCCTGCCTCTCTCTCTCTCTCTGTCTCTCTCTCTCTCTCTCTGTCTCTCTCTCTCTCTCTCTCTCTCTCTCTCTCTCTCTCTCTCTCTCTCTCTTAAATCAATAAACATATCCTCAAGTGAGAATTTAAAAAAAAAGAATAAAAAAAAGATTGACCTTTGATAAGGAAGCTATAGACCTGGGATGTGACTGACTACTATAACCCATTCATTTAGGACTTTGTGATCAGAGCAACCTGTGTGGTTACTTTTGATCACTGAGTCTGTCAGGTTTATTGCATAGCCACTTTTCATTCACATAGAGCATTGTGATTTAGTAACAAACAAACAAACAAATGTTCTTATTTCAGTACACACATTAAAGTATTTATGAATGGATGTGTGATATCCAGAATGTGCTTTCAATTATCCCACCCCACCCCCCAAAAAATGTCCTGGAGGAAATATATGAAACAAGACTGACAGAACATTGTCAGTTAATGTTTAAGCGGGATGACAGGCAGGTACATGGGGATTCATAATACCATTTGTTCTACTTTTATTTATTTATTTATTTAAACATTTCCTTAATAAAAATGGTTTAAAAAAAAAAAAAAAGTCTACTTGATATAAATGAAAAGGGCATTTTTGTCACCAGATGCCCTTTGGATGCTTAGAACAGAAACCAATAACCTGACTTCGTGAGTCAATTGGCTACAGATTAGGTAATCTCTCTACCTCTTCCTGGTGACTTCAGCACTGGAGGCAAGCAGCAGGCGCTGAAGCACAGGAGAGCAGAGAAGCCAGAAGCAAGAAGACCTCTGAGTTCAGGTAGAGGGTTTATCAGAGCATGGTTTTTCTGCATCTGTGTATCAAATTCAATTAAGTCTTACATTCCCTCTGGCCTCAATCTATAGTGAAACCTAGCAACTGTGTAATTAAAGTCACTTCCATTACTTCTTAGATAATAAAACATGAGAGCTGGAAGCAACTTGAGGAAATATCCAATCAAAACATCTTATTTTACACCATCCTAATAATGCATTCTAAGATGTGATATTATAACAAGGTTATGGGTTGTGAGTAGGGTGAGATAGTACTCACTGAAATAGAAGGCTGGCTTCCCATTTTGTTCCATTTCTCTCTTGCTACCCTGAGAAAATAAGTAAGGCAATGGGGTGTGTAGTCTATTTTCTCTAAAAATTGAGGTAAAGCCCTGGCTGGTGTGGCTCAGTTGGTTGGGTGTTGTCCCATGCACCAGGAGGTAGCGGGTTCATTTCCCTGGCAAAGATACATGCCTGGGTTATGGGCGTGATCCCAGTAGGGTATGTGCAGGAGGCAGCTGATCAATGATCCTCTCTCATCACTGATGTTTCTCTCTCTCTCTTCCTCTCCCTTCCTATCTCTATTTCTTTTTTTAATCAGCAAACTAGTTTTAAAATGAGGTAAAGGGAATGCTTTAGAAAATGAAACCATCTACATGATTAAAAATTATATCTCAATAAAGCTAGAAATTTTTTTTTTCAATTTTTAAAAAGGAAGTAGAAAAAGAAAATGGGAAGGCCCAGCTTCATGCAGGGACTCAGGGTACTCAGAGGAAGGAACCAAAGTTGGCCAAGATTAAGTCAAGATTTTCCTGAGTTGGTCCAGACTCCAGAGTTGTGACCAGAATTGGGAATGCAGAATTTAAAGAGGAAAGAGATTAGTCAAGAGTTTGAGTCTATAGTCCCTGGAAATACATGACGCTGGAGCTCCTGCCACCTCCTCTGAGCCTGCTGGCTGGCGTGTCTGGTTCCTGTGAGGAAACTGACCCGGTTTTCCAGCCTCTTTTGCCATCCCTGTGCTCAGCCTGGCATCTGCCTACTCCTCCTGCCCCGAGAGGGAGGCCCACTGCAAGTCTTGGAGAAGAATGCTCTGTAGATCTGATGCCGTGAGCCAGCCTCACAAGACGGTTGGGTGTGCAGAGGTTTCCAGAAGGGTCGGGAGAATCGGAGGAGGACAGGATTCGCAGCAGCAGCCAGCCGGGAGGACAGTCCTCAGGGTTGGCCTTCTTGGTCCCCCTTCGTGATGGCGCGGACCGGACCTGATAAAGCCGCGGTTCTTCGGCCAGCTCTACTTCCACTGAATTCCTAGAAGCTCACAGCTGACGGCCCACAGACGCTCAGCGGTTTTGTTGTTTCGGGCCCTGGGAGACACCCAGGCCTTCTTGCAGTCACTGGAGGGCAGAGAGAGAATGTAAACATCTAGGAGTGCAAACTGACAGTCTGGAAAAGTTTATGGCCTCTTCCTCAGAATATATTTCTAAATGTATAAAATATGTCGCATGAAAAGAAACGAACTGTATTGGGGTACAGTTTTTAAATATTGTAAAAAATCTATGGCATAGAAAGTAATACATAAGCTTCCTTGCGAATATATTCTATAACAAGAGCTAGCGGTGGGTCTAATAACCACCGGATTTCCAAGTAGTGGCGAGCAGAAGTGACATTTTGGGTATTTCTGCAACTGCAATGTGGCATGGAAATACTACAGTTTTATGGGTGCCAAAGTCACAGGTATTACCACTAAGCCTGCAGTTCATTGCCTACATTCATGGAAAATGCAGCCCTGATAAAGAAGAAATGCCTATGCGTGAATTACTTATCCTTACACTCTTCTTTGCTTTGTTTGTATAGAAATAGATAAGATAGTGTTTAAATCCCATTAAAAGAGGGAAACACTCAGAAAGCTGCAAAGCCTTCTTTCCTGGAAACATGGCACACAGATATAAAACAGAGCCAGGGAAGTTTCTCTTGCCAAGTTTCTAATGTAATTTCCTTTGGAAAAGTAACAGCATTTGGTTCGCTGGCCCAACCCAACGCAAACCCGGATTCTGGTAGGAGGCGAACACTCGGCCAGCTGGGGTGCAAAGCCCAGGAAAGGGTGAGTCTCAGCGCGCACAGGCGGGGAGAGGACCGGCGCTGCCTCCACGCACCTGAAGTACTTGCCGCTCTGGGGCTCCAGGCCCTCGGCCAGGGCGCAGTGCAGGCTGGTCTGGGCCCCCTCCCGCGCTGACTTGAGGAAGGGGGAGAAGAGCCGCCAGAGCAGGCACATCAGGAAGGAGTGGCGGACCAGCTCGGAGCGGACGATGCCCGGGTGCACCGAGTAGGTGGTGACCCCTGTGCCTGGGGCAGAGAGAGCACGGTTAGAGCAGGGACACACTCTGAGCCCCCGAAACAGCTCACCTCCTGCTGCAAACTGTGCAAGTGAGAAGAAGGGACTCAGAAAACAGAACCCCTTCTGATTTAGAAGGTGCTCCTCCCAGCCAGGTAAAATCTGGCCAGTAATTAATTAATCGCTTCCACAAAGATCTATAGCCTTCTGTGCTCCAAAACAAATGCTTGGTTGAAGGTCCTTCTATGTCAATGTCTGTGACTTAAGTATTAATAATAGAAACAACAACATGTACCAGTTGAACTACTAACACTACTACAGCAGTAGTAGTAGTAGTATCAATTACTGACAGTGGCTTCTTTGGAATTTCTATAGGAAAGATTTCCAGCCCTAACTAGTTTGGCTCAGTGGATAGAGAGTTGGCCTGCAGACTAAAGGGTTCCAGGTTCGATTCTAGTCAAGGGCATGTACTTTGGTTTCAGGCACATCCCCAGTAAGATCAATGTTCCTCTCATCAATGTTTCTAACTCTCTATTCCTCTCCCTTCCTCTCTGTAAAAAAATCAAATAATATATTTAAAGTATTAAAAAAAAAAAAAAAAAAAAGCTTCCAGAGGTGGAGAACATCTGACCAGCGGGCTGTATAAGGCCCTCGAAACCATTTGGTCTGGTCCTGCCAAGGCATTAGGGGTGAGCAAATAAATGTTTAACCAAATGTAGCAGGCTAATTTTTAAATTGATATTTTTACATGGCCCATGAATGATGCTATAAATATCCAAATGGCCCTTGGCAGAAAAATGGTTTCCCACTCTTGACTTAAGGGAAGCAATGTGATTGAAAAAAAGGAAGTTAGGTGGCTTGAGCCAAATTTGCTGAGCAAGCACATTTTAGGAGGTGTAGATTGAGGGGTGTTGATGGAGATGATGGGGGTTAACATGCTCCCCTGGACACAGCTGGTGCCTGCCTCTACTATTTTTAGTACTTATTATGTGCATGGACCTACTACGTGCTTTACCTGCATTATCTCATTTGCTTCTCAAAGAGGCTTGTGAGGTAAGTGATATTAAGATGCCCATTTACCATGGGAAAAAAACTGAGGTCTCATCACAGTGAGGTTAAGTAAAGTGATTGCCCAAGGTCATACCCTAGCAGGTTGCAAGGCCAAGGTCTGGACTCTGATATAAAGGGCATGGACTCCAGAGCTGGACTGTCCTGGCTCAGCCAGGAAACTTGCTAGGTCAAGTTGTGTATGTATGTATGTGTGTGTGTATATATATATATATATATATATATATATATATATATATATCTGTGCCTATCTTGTTTGTTTGTTTGCTTGCTTGCTTGTGGAGCAGGGAAAAATAGTAGCACCTACCTCATAGGGATGTTGCATTAAATGAGTTAAGACATGCATAGTACACAGCATACACAAAACTCTCAATTACTATTGTCATCACTATTATTGCTTTTAATGATTGCTCTATTCTTCTACCTTCTGTGTTCTGAAAGCAAATACCACTGTCCCAAACTCTGGCTTATTCAGCATAGCAAACAGTCCCCATGATTTCCAGATCCCAAAGCTAGCAACTCAAAGAAAACTCCAGGAAGAGAAAGAATCATAGGATTAGCCCTTGCCGGTTTGGCTAAGTGGATAGAGCGTCGGCCTGCCGACTGAAGGGTCCCGGGTTCAATTCTGGTCAAGGGCACATGCCTGGGTTGTGGGCTTGATCCCCAGTGTAGGGTGTACAAGAGGCAGCCGATTAACGAATCTCTCTATAGCATTGATGTTTCTATCTCTTGCTCCCTCTCTCTTCCTCTCTAAAATCAATTTTTTTTTTCAAAAAAATCATAGGATTAAGAGAGGCCCCACCTCATTTTAAAGTTGAGGGGATGAAGTCAGGAGAAGTTAAAGGGACATGTCCTTATACACACGTGGCTACTGTGTGGCAGAGCAAGAACTTAGAGCCCGGAGGGTTGACGTCCAGCCCTAGCTCCCTCTCTCTGGGCAGTGGCACCTCTCTGGCTCAGCTAACCACGTGACTCTCAGCAAATAGCACTCAGCGGGAAGTACCCTGGATTTAAAGCCGTATAGACCTGGGCTGCCTGCTTCTTTGGACCTCAGTTTGGAACCATATAATAATAATAATACCTGCTCTGCCTGTTGCAAGAGATGGTTGTGAAAAATAATATCAGATAGTAGATATAAGATTTGACATAAATGTAAGGTAACTTCCTAGGTTCCTAACTGTGACTCAACTTAAAGTTTCCCAAGGGCATTCTCCTCTGTGCATAGACCTACCTACCACTGTAGTGTTCATGTCTGAGGTGTTCAGGAATTCCTGTGAACCTGAAAACCCTGCTTTTGCTACCTTAACCCTGGCCCTTTCTCTCGACTTACCTTGGAGCTTTTTGGCCAGCTCACGAGTAAAAAGCACATTGGCCAACTTGCTGTGACAGTAAGCAAAACCTCGGCTGTAGCGCTTCTCACCCTGCAGGTCGTGGAAGCGAATCTTGCCAGCAATGTGGACCACTGATGACAGGTTCACCACCCGTGCAGGAGCAGACTCCTTCAGCCGCTCCAGGAGCAAGTGGGTGAGAAGGAAGTGGCCTGCAAGGAGAGCCAGCAGGGAAGATTGAAGAGTGGAGAGGCTGCCCTGGCTGATTTGGCTCAGTGGGAGAGTATTGATCCGCGGACTGGTTCCGGTCAACATCTCATGCACAGGTGGCAGGCTCAATCCCCGGAAGGAGGCTCCCAGGAGGCAGCCAATCAATGATTTTCTCTCATCATTGATGTTTTGAGCTCTCTCTCCCTCTCTCTCTGAAATCAATTTTATATATATATATATATATATATATATATATATATATATATATAATATTTTATATATTTTTATATATTTTATATATATTTTATATATATATATATAATATATATTTTAAGTGTGGAGTGGCTGCCCAGGCTCAGGATGTGGGACAGGACTTCAGCATTAGCTCCCTATCTTCTGGGTGTGAACAAATTTTTATGTAACTCAGTGCTAATGGTCAGGCAGTCTGAGTTAATGAATTCTTTAAGACAAAAGCCAGAGCTAGCCTGTAGGTGAGACAATATAGACTTAATCTATACTTATTTGAATCAGGACAAAGGCTACCTGCTGGCTTCTGACCCCACTATGGCCATGTTCACACAACTGTGGGTCCAGGTACACCCATGTACAGAGGGGAAGAGGGGAAGAGTTAGGGAAAATTACATTTATCTAGGATCAGAGGACATATTCCATGATCTCCTCTCCAGAACCATCACCTTGAACTCTGAACCCCAGCCTCCCTCATACCTCAAGTCTTCAAGGTTTGCCTCCTCTATCGACCAACCCTTGGCTTTCGGAGCCCTCAGCTGTAGGTGTGACTCCCTCCAGTCAAATACAGGCTCCTGCAGCTCTCACACCTGGCCTGCTTGGCAAGCCTCATGCTACCACAGCCTCATCCAAGAATGGCATTTTTCTTCCTGCTATTTTCAAAGTTATGGGGTTTCTTTTTTTTTTGTTTCTTTTTACTTTATTATCTAATTTACTAGAGGCCCAATGCACAAAATTCATGCAAGGGCCTCTGCCGTGGCCACTGGCTTTGTCCGGAAGGAAGGATGTCCTGCCTAATTAGCACATTATGCTTTTATTATTATAGGTTGGGGTGACATTGGTTAATAAAATTATATAGGTTTCAGGTATATAATTCTATAATACATCATCTGTATATCGTATTGTGTGTTCAACACACCAAGTCAAGTCTCCTTCCATCACCATTTATCCCCTCATACCTTTTCCTAACTCCCCCCACCCACCTTTCCCTCTGACAATTGGAGTTTTTTAATGCTATGTGTAGGAGGAGCTCACTTTTTTGAACTAGTCAGGAGAGGGAGAGTGGACAAAAATCCAGTATGTCCAATCTATTGGAACCCTGGCCTCCAATAGGACCACTGGAGATTCTCAGCACTAGTGTACGGTCATCTATACCTACAGAGAACAAGATGGGGTCAGCCTTGCTTTTCATTCACTCGGAAATACTTACCCAGGTGGTTGACTCCCAGGTGGGTTTCAAAGCCATCAGCTGTCTTGGAATACGGACACATCATCACTCCTGCATTGTTGATCAGAATATGGAGCTGCTTTTCCTCTGTAACACAACCAAGGAGACCCTGTCGTTAGCAAGAAGCCAGCTAGCTGCCCAGCACAGTCCTGAGTATTTACTTCTTGTCTTTGGACCTATCTTAGTGATATTCTGTAACGACTATTATTTAGGTTCCTAACTTTAGTTATTGATATCTTCCTGGACACCATTCATTCATTCAGTCATTCATCCATTCATTCAGCAAATATGTACTGAGTACTGACTCTGGGCCAGGCCCACTCTGCTGGGCATACAGTGGTAACACAGGGCAGGCATGGTCCCCAAACCTCATGGATTTCATAGTCATTAGTATTTTCCAAGATACACAAGAATTTTGGCAGCAACACAACCTCCTTTGGTGCCAGTGGCCACAGAAGGTTGCTTCTCAGAATGAAAGAAGAGAGTGGCATCAGGGCCACACCTTGATGCCAAGGTACAAGCCCAGACAGGGAGCTGATACCTCCAACATTCCCACTGCAGAGGCAATCCCATGATAAGGATCCTGTCCAGCTGGTCCACCCGTCATCCCCTGGCCAATTCCCTGCCCTGCTGGTTCATGTGGCAGAACCCGTCCAGTGGAATCCATGAGAGCTCTGAGGTAAGGGTCAGAGACAGGTCTGGGTGGAACGGCCCCGCCCACACCCAGCTTCTTGCTTTTCTGGCTACCCACCAGGGCCTCACCTGCCAGAAAGCCCTCAGCAAAGGCTCTGATGGATTTGGTATCTGATAGGTCCAGTTTCCGCACCAGCACCTGGGAGTTCTTGGTATCAGCTCGGATTTCGCTGGCAGCAGACTCCCCCTTGAGTACATCTCGGCAGGCAATGTATACTCGGGCTCCTGGGGCAAGAAAAGAGGGCAATGTGTTCAGACCGTATGCTGAGAAAGAGTATGGTAAGCAAGCTTGGGACTACAGAGCGTTCTCCAGCCATCCCTAAAGCAGCGAGTGCTGTATTGCCACTCTAGGATTTTCACTGCAGCACTGCTCATGCTCCTTGCTACTTGCTTAACTCCGGCTGGGAACCCTGGTTTTTACACTCTGACAGTTAATGTTGCTTAGTATCTCTTTTCAGAATAACGGACTTGACCAGTACCATACATGGACATCATTGTTTGTCTTACTTCATAAAAGACAAGCAATAATGGAGCAGGAAGGAAGGGAAATTTGTTTAAGGCCACATAGTGAGGTGGCATCACAGCTGGACTTGAATCCCAGGTCCCTTGAATTCCTGACCAGAGTCTCCAAGCTCGGGAGAAAAGACAAGGAAATGTGGACAGAGCCCGGCGGAGAGAGGCAGGAGGTGCTGCTCCGTGGACATGGAAGTGGAGGGACTTGCCTCTGCGAGCGAGCTCTCTAGCCGTCTCCTTGCCGATGCCGGTGTTGGCGCCAGTGATCACCACGACCTTCCCAGGAAGCTGCACGTCTGTTCTACACACCCCACCAGCAAAGAACTTCCTACGGGCAAAGGAAGCAAAAGCATTCATGAGCCATCCTTCCCAATCCCAGCGAAGATGCACAACATCCATCCAGCCTCAAAGAAGAATTTCTTACAGTTGTTCTCGGAAGATGTTTTCTAAACAAGCTAATCTTCAGGGGACATTTTCCCAGTGGGAAAGGGGGTATCCTGACCATCAACTCAGGTGGGAAGGGCATGTGTCCAGAAGCTACAGATGGCCATCTAGGCAAACAGAGGAAGTGCTCTTGAGCTGGGGCCAAGGGACACCTTCCTTATTAGATAAAGATAACAAAGCTCTTATCTCTGGAGGTTCCTGGAGGTCAGCTGCCTCCTCTAACCTGCATTAAAAACGTGCAAAGAGCATTAAACGATTCACTGGTCCTGAGCCCTCGATCCTCAATAAGCACGACAGTGAATAACTGATGAATGGCACCTCAAGGGGTCCCACATACAAATGTGGCTCTTGGGCTCCCTCTCCAGTTTTAGAGAGCCTGCATCTTCGCATGTTTTTGTTTTGTTTTGTTTTTTTGTTTTGTTTTGTTTTGTTTTTTGCCATCTTCAGAGATTCCATTCTACCTATCATATCAACACCCTGAGAAACCCTCTCTTTTCAGACCTCTGTGCAGAAAGCATCTTTTTACATAAAGTTTACTTAACAAGTTCCAAAAAGAGGAGAGAGGTGGGGACAGATGATTCTCTGAGCACCATTTAACTCTCAGGCACTTTCCAGAGGGAATTTATTTTATCCTCTTAACTGCTCTCTTATTGTCCCCATATTACAGTTGGGGGCGGGGGGGGGGGAATGAGGCTCAAAGAAGTTCAAATCACTTGTTAATGGTGGCAAAACTGTAAGATAAACCCAGGTTTCTATGCCAGAACCCAGAGCAACACTCTCTCTCTCATATATCCATGTAACCTTCTTAATCATCAGCAATTTGAAAATTCTCTATTCAGACACACATTTCTTTGACGCCTCCAGAAATCCTACAGCAAAAGAGCCATCCCAAAACATCATTAGCTGAGGAAAGAGAGTTTGTTTCCTTCCCCAAAGGACTGGTACTTAGTGAGTCCCTCAGCAGTGACCACCCATAGTCACCCAGCAGGGCCATCTTCACTAGAAACAATGAAGAAAGGAAGACCTTCCAAGGAACCCAGGGGAACAGCGTGAAAGAGCAAGGACTTTCCCCTAAGTTGTCTGTCAAGCAACTTAATACTCATCCACTCAGCCTTCCACTAGCATCGGAAGTCAAATCAGCCATCTCCTCCCAGCCCAGGTGCTTCCTTCAAGGTCTCCATAATTACTTTCTTTCTGTTTCTTCTGCCCTGACTTTCTCTCCCCTGACCCTCTATTCCTTCCTCTTCTTTCAGCAGCCGAGAGAGAATTCGTCTACTTACAAGTTCCGTGGCTCCCCGTTTAGGGATTTGTAAAATATTGTATGAGTCACTGAATTAAGACAAACCTGATGGATGGAGCTATCACATACAGGAAGGAAAGGAAGGAGGCGAGCAGTCCCAAGAAAACCATCATCTTTTCAACTTCTTTAGTTTCTGCTCCTTAGCAACAACACCTTCGACTCTTAACTCGAGTTCGGGCTCCTGGTCTGCCTTCAACTCTGCTCTGCTCCTGGCTGCTTCTCCCTCTTGTAGCTCCTCTCAGAGCTCTCAGCAACAGCCTGGCTCTAAGCATAGCCCAGAATCCTATTTAAATCCGAGAGCTGTCAGAGCACAGCCTGCTGGGAGATGTAGTCCTGAGAGAGGAGGGCGGAGGAAGACGTGGAACCTCACACTAACCAGCAAAGAGAATGAGGGGAAATGCAGCAACTTTCCTACCCTCAATTATTTCTTTATCTAGGGAATATTTTCTCTCCAACCACCCCCACCTCCACCCCTGAAAGATAGAATATTTTTAGCTTAAGCAACAGACCCCATGAAATACAAATGTTATTAAAATAGGAAGACAATCCCAGGTCGGTTTGGCTTAGTAGATAGAGCGTCAGCCTGTAGACTGAAAGGTCCCAGGTTTGATTCCGGTCAAGGGCACAAGTCTGGGTTGCGGGCTAGATCCCCAGTGAGGGGGGGGGGAGGAAAGGGGAAGCATGCAGAGACAGCCAGTCAATGATTCTCTCTCATTTTCATCTCTCTCTTCCTTCTGAGAGAAGTCAGGACAGTGGTATCTCTTGGTGGGGAAGGGGTAAGATTGGGAAGATATGTGTTGGGAACTCCGGTAGTGTTCTGTTCTTTGAGGTGGGTGCTGGTTACACAGGTGTGCTCACTTTGTGAAAATTTATTGAGTCATCTGCTTGATTTGTGCACTTTTCTGTGTTGTATGTGATACTTCAATGAACACATCCATGTACATACCAAGGAAAGTTATGTGTTTCAGTGCTTGGACTTCCTGGTTCGAATCTCAACTGATCTTCTTACAAGCTCGATGGCCCCGGGCAAGTTACTAAACAGTGTTACTCAGTTTCCTCATTTGTACAAAGGGCTTAATAAAAGCATATACCTATCTGTTTTAAGTATTAAATAGATAATTAAGTAGGTAGATAACTTGAGACAGAGACTAGCACATCATAAACACTGTATAAGAGATGGCTGTTAAAATTAGCTGTTTCCCTCGCATTACCCAAGGATTTGGTGTAGAAAGGGGGGAGGTAATGAATGAGGGTGACAATTTGATATTGAATGCTATTGAAAAAGAGAGGAAACATAAGAAAAAATTGTTAGTAGAAACTCTTCGAGCCTTCTGGAGATGGATGAGCAGGGCCCACAGCACTTGCTCACTCGGCATTTCTCTCCTGGACCGGACAATAGAACAGGACAAGGAAAAGACCTTAGTAGTCATGTCCCCATTCTGCTCCTCCCTGTGAAGTTACTGGAGGCCCCAGAAAGACACATTCGATGAAAGAAGGCTCCTGTGGCATGCAGGTACCCACTCCCTCACTCATCAATTCATCCATCTATTTAAAATATACTTACTGCATATTTATTGGTGCCAGGCATTGTGCCACGTACTCCAAGTACTCCTGCCTCTTGGGAATTCCCAAAAACCTGATAAATAGAAAAAGGAGTAATCAGATCATTTACAGGTGGAATCTCTCTTGATTCCCAGGGGCCTCTCCCATCTCTCCCCACTTCTCTCTCTCTGGCCCCAGTTCCTTGCAGAAATCTAGAGTGTTAACTGCAGAGACCTCAACATTCCAGAAGCTCCTGTGATTGTGTTGCTGGAGCCTCCTAGAAGTTGATGTCCACTGGGCCAACATGGTCTTGCTGATTGGACAGAGTCCTTTCCTCCCAACACATTTGGTCTGCCGCACCTCATAGATTATAGGTAAAAACAAGGTCTGTTGGTGCTTTCTGCTTAGAGTTCTCTCTTTTCCACGTAATCAGGGCTGTAGTCAACCAATGGGACAGACACAATGCTATGTCATGCAAAGAACATACATCTGATAGCTCAAATAAGGATACCTTCGTAATAATGTCTTCTGAGCTCTGCATTTTTTACTGAGTCAAATTCAAGATCCCCTGCATTTGTGGAGATGATGCTCAATTTATCTTGAGTTTGTCTGCAAAAGCAAAGAAATAGCATGTAGTGCTCTAGAGCAACATAGAGAAGATATAGAAGGCATATAAGACATCTAGAATTATGGAAATATACAAATAGTTTTATTAAAAATATGTTAAATATTATTTCCCAAAGATTACCATTAGGTGATTGATTAGTTTTGCCAAATGTTAAACTATATTACAAAGCTATAATAATTCAAGTTGTTTGATACATGCAGGTGAATAGTCATACAAATCACTAGAACAGAAGATAAATGATGGGGTTCTTGTCCCAGCATTTTGAAGGGTTTCAGGAATCTGGAGAAAGGCTGTGTGTAGATTAAGTAAGGGTCCAAAGACGAAAGATAATTTTGAAAAGCACTGGGGGTCAGAAGAGCTTCAGCTAAAGGAGCTAAAGATCTCCCTTTTCTCAGGACCTCTGCTTTTTATTAACACAATTTGTCCTAAAACAAGGTGGAGATAATACACTTCAAAGGGTAGGGTACAGAAACATTGTCAGATTGGGAAATAGCCTACAGCTGTTCAGGTGTTTGGCCAACAGGAGGTGATAATATGTAGATTGAGATGCCCTGAGCTGTCAGGCAACAAATAATCATTTTATTCATGTTTGGGGGAAGTGCCCTCTAGCCACTTGAACTGGTAATTACATATGTGACTCAGCCCTTGTTGATCCCCCAAGTTTCATCAACCTTTTGATAAAACTCTTATAATTATGACATGCTGGAATTGGCTTCCAGCAGGTAAAACCAAGAAATAGACCCAAATAGATATAGAAATTTAAGTATAATTTTAAAACATCATTTTAAATAATTATTGAGAGAAGATAAATTATTTAATAAAATATTATAATACCTTGCTATCCATTTGGGAAAAGATAAACTTAATTTTTACCTTACTCTTTACATCAAAATTTTAAATATATCAATGATATAAACATGGAAAATGAAACCATTTAAGTATTAAGAAGATCCATGGGACAAATTTTTAAATAACTTTTAAAAATATTTTTATTGATTTCAGAGAGGAAGGGAGAGAGAGAAAGAGATAGAAACATAAATGATGAGAGAGAATCATTGTTCCACTGCCTCCTGCCTGCCCCACACGATGGGCTTGAATCCACAACCCGGGTATGTGCCCTGACCGGGAATCAAATTGTGACCTCCAGGTTCACAGGTAGACGTTCAACCACTGAGCCATGACAGCTGGGCCAATTTTTAAATAATTTTTGAGTAGTAAGATCTTTCTAATAAGATAGGAAACCCAGAAAATGAAAGAATAAAAAATTCATGACAAAAACCACCATATACAAGGCAACAAACAAAAAAAAAAGGGGGGGGAGAATGGAGGGGGAGGGAGGGAGGGAGGGAGGGAGGGAGAGAGAGAGAGAGAGAGAGAGAGAGAGAGAGAGAGAGAGAGAAACTGGGGAAATGGGGTGGGGAATAGTCACAACACCTATTGTAGATAAGAGTTTAATTTATTTAGTATAGAAAGAATTCTTATAAATCACTCAGGAAAAGAATAAGCAGCCCAATGGAAATAACAGTTTACAGAAAAGGAAATTTAAGTGGCTCTTCAACCTAACTCAGAATAAAAGAGATGCAAATTAAAATTACACTGGAAGCCCTGACTGGTTTGGCTCAGTGGATAGAGCATCAGGCTGTGGACTGAAGGGTCCCAGGTTCGATTCCAGTCAAGGACATGTACCTTGGTTGTGAACACATCCCCAGTGGGGGGTATGCAGGAGACAGCTGATCGATGTTTGTCTCTCATCAATGTTTCTAACTCTCTATCCCTCTCCCTTCCTCTCTGTAAAAAATCAATAAAATATATATTTTTTAAAAATTACACTGGGAGCCACTTATCAGATTGACAAAGATGAAAAAGCCACATAGCCCTGCTGGAAGTGGCTCAGTAGGTTGAGCATCATCCTGTGCATCAAAAGGTTCAACATTCAATTCCTAGACAAGACATGTAGGAAGAGCAGTGTGTAGATGTTTCTCTCTCCTCTGTCTCTCTCCCTTTCTTCTCTCTAAGCATGTCCTCGATGAAGATTAAATAAATAAATAAAAAACTTTGACACAGTCCATTCACAAGAGTGTGAAGAAATAACGATGCATTGCTAGTAGGAGAGTTGATTGTTACAGCCTCCAGAGAGAGGTAACATCTAATAAGACTATGCACGTCATTGACTTGAACTTTCCACTTCCACATATGTCATTGCACCATTGTGTATAATAGGAAAAGTTTGGAAACCTTCTAAATGCCTGTCAATAGTATGGCCACACGATGACTACTATATAGCTATGAAATACTTTTTTTAAATATATTTTATTGATTTTTCACAGAGAGGAGGAGAGAGGGATAGAGAGTTAGAAATGTCGATGAGAGAGAAACATCGACCAGCTGCCTTTTGCACACCCCCTACTGGGTATGTGCCTGCAACCACAGTACATGCCCTTGACCGGAATCGAACCTGGGACCTTTCAGTCTGCAGGCCGACGCTCTACCAATGAGCCAAACCGGTCCCGGCTGAAATACTTTTTTTAAAAACATATTGATATGAAGAATCTTTAAGACATATTTGGTGAAAAAGTAAGGAGCAGAACATAGTTTATAATATGCTACCATTTGTTTAAAAATGGAGGGAATAGCTCTGTCCGGTCTTGGGTTCAATTACTAGTCAGGGCACATACCTAAGTTGTGAGTTTGGTCCCAGTTGGGGTGCGAATGAGAAGCAACCAATTAATGTTTTTCTCTTCTCTCTCTCTCTCTCTCTCTCTCTCTCTCTCTCTCTCTCTCTCATCAATAAATATATCCTCAGGTGAGGATAAAAAAATGGAGGGGATAGATGGACATATTTGTGTAACAAGATGACAAGAAACAAGATAAAAGAAAAGGATAGCAATGGTTGCTTCTAGGAGAACAGGGGAGCAGGATTAGGCGGCTTTTCACTGAAAGTACCCTTTCATACCTTGTGAATTCATAACCTATAGCTTATTAAATATTAAAGCTTTAAAAATCAATAAAATATATTTTAAAAATAAAAAATAAAACTTATAGCAAAAATAACCAGATAACTCTGAAACAACTTGTTCATTTTGGTTAAATTAATCATTGTGATATCACAAAACAAAGCTATTTCTCACACTGGTGTTGAGACACCCTTAAACGTGTATTGATGAATAAGCAAAGCCATCGTCATGATGATAATGGAACCATCCACCGCTGAAGTCCTACTTTATTACTGTAATTGACACCAAAAGAATTATGGACCAATCCAATGCTTGCTTTTTTTAGGGACTTTCAATCTGAGATAGGATAGAAATATATAGGAGAGAGGACAATAAAAACAGCCTTATTGTTAGTGTCCTTTAGTGACCTTGTCACTGAAATTTTTCACCAGTCACTTTTTAAAAAAATATATATTTTATTTCTTTTTTACAGAGAGGGAGAGAGATAGAGAGCTAGAAACGTCAATGAGAGAGAAACATCGACCAGCTACCTCCTCCACACCCCCCACCGGGGATGTGCCTGCAACCAAGGTACATGCCCTTGACCGGAATCGAACCCGGGACCTTTCAGTCCGAAGACCAACGCTCTACCACTGAGCCAAACCGCTCACCAGTCACTTTTGTCTATGAGCTCTAGTTATTGATATTTTTCTTAACTTTCTCTCTCTTGACTTAGCTTTAATGAGGTCTAATTAACAAATAAAATTATAAGATATTTAAAGCTTACAACATGACAATTTATTAACTCTTTTTAAAAAATCTTTATTGTTGAAAGTATTACATATGTCCCCTTTTCCCCATCATTGATCCCTTTTAGCCCCTCCCCCACCTCATCCCCACCCCAGCGTTCACCACACCATTGTCTGTGTCTAAGGGTTATGCATATATGAACACAGGTTCTTTGGTTGATCTCTTCCCACCCATTCACCCATCCCCACCTTCCCTCTGAGATTCAACAGTCCGTTCCATGTTAACTCTTTTCTTAAGTCTTCTATCCTTTTTGATTGTTCACCTAACCTCCCCCCCACCCCCGCCAAATTCCTTTATTTTCTCATATGAGGCAATTTAACTATGTATAATTTAGCCATGTCTAATTATTCAACTGTCTCTCCTTACCCGTCCTTCCTGAAGGTGTTATAAGCATATTTTTTCAAACCAGGACAGTTTTTAAACTGCATCCAGCAAACTAGGGGTGAACCTGAGCAGGGGCAGTGAAGGATTAAAGAAGACAGGTAAGAGAATACAATTGGGACCAGGTGGATCACTGCCTGGATGAGGAAACAGTGACAACCTCTAAGCAGAAGCTTTATTTTTAGTCAGATCACACAAAGCAAAAACAAGGGGAGTGGTCAACATGTTTACAATATTCTTGAGAGTTTCAAATCTATTTCATTACTCAAGCTTTGTTTTGGCAGCACTTGCTGCACCTCCCACAGCCCATTAGCTATCTAGGAACAAGGGAGGACTATAAGGTCAAGCTTAATTGTGCTAGGAGGGCTTTGCCTCCAAACTGGGACTTGTATGTGGCACTTCCACAGGTTAGTCCGAGACTTGACCCTATAGCCGCTCCCTATATTTAATATATTTTATTGATTTTTTTTTTACAGAGCGGAAGGGAGAGGGATAGAGAGTTAGAAACATTGATGAGAGAAAAACATCGACCTGCTGCCTCCTGCACACCCTCTACTGGGGATGTGCCCGCAAGCAAGGTACATGCCCTTGACTGGAATCGAACCTGGGACCCTTGAGCAGACCAATGCTCTATCCACTGAGCCAAACTGGTTAGGGCTTGCTACCCTTCTTAAACTTCTTGCCTACTCCCCTCAATTTCAGCAAGTTTCCTGGTGCACATATGCACGCACATGTGTGCACACACATGGACCATCAGAATGAAAATTCTTCATTATCCTGGAAACAAGTTTGTAAGTTTTTGGGATTTGTGCTCATCGTATCTGCCTTTCCTCCTAACATTAATTTCTCTCTAGTCCATCCTCTTCTCAGAGCATGACTCAATTAATTACCTCCTAATTTCCCCTTTATCTTAAATGTTCTCCTCTTTAAAAATACTCCTGCCATCCCACCTAAGCCTCCTGATACTAACTTCTCTCTTTCCATCTTGAAAGAGTTGGCTACACATTCTTTCTACTCACTCTTCAGCCTATTCCAATCAGGCTCCCACCCACCATTTCTCTGAAGCTGTTCTCACAATGGCACTCATGTGACTCATATGATGCTAAATCTAGCAGACATATTGCAGTTTTTATGTTTCTTAACGTCTCAGTGGTATGGTATTTGTTCAGTTCCCACTTCTCCAATTTTAATAGCTTTATTGAGGTATAACTGACACGTAATAGTGTGCACATGTTAAAAGTACACAATTTGATGAGTCTTGTCATTTGTATACAGTCTTGAAACTATCACCACAGTCAAGACAATGAACATATTTATCATCCCCAAAAGTTTCTTCATTTCCTTTGGTAAAACCCTCCCATCCTTCTTCACTTCCTTCTATCCCTGGGAAACCAGTAGTGTACTTTTTATCACCAAAATCTACAATCTACAGTGTGCATTTTCTAGAATTATATATCAACTAGATGCCCAGTGCACAAATTCATACACTGCTGGGGGTTCTTAATCCAGAATCTTGAAGGGCTCAGAAATCTGGAGAAGGGCTGCTGTAAATTATTAAAGAGTCTAGAGATGAAACATAATTTTGGAAGGCATTTTGGGGAGCTAGAGAAGACTGAGCTAAAGAAACCAAGTTCCCTGTCTCTCTGGACCCTTTGCTTTTTATTAACACTAATTGTCCTAAAGCAAAGTAGATATACATATCAAAGGCAAGGTTTACCGTGTTTCCCTGAAAATAAGACATCCTCCGAAAATAAGACCTACTTACAGGTTTCCTTCTGAGTGAAATATAAGGCATCCCCCGAAAATAAGGCCCCCCTAGGCTAAACATGAAAGAATTGGTTCACTGATTCTGAAAGAAATGGAGTCACAAGAAATTCACCAGGAAATTTAGGAATTGGATTGTTATGATGATGTTCCAGAAGATGATGACATGATTGTCATTGAATAAATGAGTAAATTCTTGATACTGTAAGATTCACAGTTTGTCTGATTTGTGTTGACAACTACCGTACCATCATACCTTATACAGGTAATAAATTTCCTTTATTTTCATTTAATGATAAATGTGTACCATATTCTTCTTCATGGAAAAATAAGACATCCCCTGAAAATAAGACCTAGCACATCTTTGGGAGCAAAAATTAATATAAGACACTGTCTTATTTTCGGGGTAGAAACAGGGTAGTATACAAAATCCTACTGTCAGATTGGAACACCTACAAGCTGTTCAGGTGTTTTGACAGTAGGAGGCAATAACATGTAGATTAAAATGCCCTTAGCTGTCTGGCAGCAAGCAATCATCTACGCAAATCTTTAGGTGTGGGGAAATGCCCTTAGTCATTTCCAGCAGGCAGTCCTCAAGGTTCTATCAACCTTTTGATGAAACTTCTTGCATTTATGACATGCTGGAATTAGCTTCTGGCAGTGCACCAATGGGGTCCCTTGGCCTGGCCTGTGGGATTGGGCCAAAACTGGCTCTCCAACATCCCCAGAGGGGACCCAAATTGTGAGAGGGCACAGGCCAAACCAAGGGACTCCACTGGTGCACTCTGGGTCAGGGAGGGACACAAGAGGTTGTCCTGGGAATGGGTTCAGGAACCAATTGCTTCAGCTCCATTGGAATCCCCAAGGAGGAAGAATTCTCACCTCTCCCTGCCTTTCCAACGGTCAGACTCCAACCGCTCCTCTTCTGTGTAATCGGCCTTAAAACATATCCCAGACGCCAATATTTGATCTCCAGGACGAACGATGTGGTAACTGCCTAACAATGATGGGGGGGGGGGGGGAGTGAACCAACCGGAGTCTAGACTTGGGCACCGAGAGCTAGAGGGCTGGGGAGATTTCCCAAAAACCGCAGGTGGCCAGAAGGGTTGTGGGAGAGCTGGCTGGATGACCCCAAAGTCCTCGGACGCTAGATAACTGGGGGTCTGCAGGGTATCTGGCGCACGGTTCAGCTTTTCTCAGTGACTGGGAACAGCAAGCTCACTGCCCGCTAGCCGCCTCCAGGGTTTGGACTACATTTCCCAGAAGGCTTTGCGGGAAAGTACTAGGGCGCGTCGTCGGGGGAGGGAAACCACAGTTGGCGAGCGCCGCCGGGGCATCTCGCCGCGCGGCTTCCTTCAAGATGATTGGGGTCCTGCTCCTGCTGCTCCTCCTCCTCCCCGTTCTCCTGTTCATCGCTGCACCCCAAATCAGGTCTGTGCAAATGTAATAATGTCTTCTCTTGGGAATCTTCGGGGGCGAAGGGAGGGGGGGGGCAGGCATCCATCCTCACGGAAGCTCTGTTCTTCAAAAGGAGGAAAAGGAAAAAACTCCCCGGTGGGCTCCCTGTCGGCCTAGGCCGGGTTTGGTTGGTCTGAGGAGGTCGGCTGCCCTGGATGCGGGGAGGGCGACACCATCAGACAGACCCCAGGACGAGGAAAATGTTGCATTTATGTTGCATACCGGAGCACGCTGCTTTGCTTCTGCGGCCCCACTTTTGCCTCTAAAGCAGCCTTTGCTTCTGGCTCCTGCAAACCCCGAGTGCAGGTCTACCCCAGACACTTAAGTGTACAGCGTTGGGGGTTTCAGACCCCAGAATAAGGCGTGCACCTCAAGACTGTTTTCCCCGTAGCCCCCTCGCCTCGAACCAGCCTTCACTGGCCTCTTGCTTCCAGCCTGTAGAGGACAATGGAGCCATTCGACTTTCTGCTTTTCGAAACTGGCCCTGGATGGGAATCGTGACATGTGCAGCCCATTCCTGTCTCTTGTTACTCTTAGATGCGGCTCTTTCTCTGGGCGATGTTGTTAAAGGAGAAAATGTGATATCCTGCACCCAACCCCGTCCTCAGAGCGGGATTATAGGGGTCGGGGTCAGCCCCCGGGGTTTCAGGGCGGGGCGGGGAGGGTGAGAGTAGCGCGCTGTTAACCTGGTGATACATCAGGCAATAGCTGGCTAAGTGTCCCCGGAGAATCAGCGGCAAGCTGCGAAACCGGCCGCCTGCTGATTGGCCGGAGCAAATCACCAGCAGTGACGGCGAGCCAGTCACTGCGGGGCGGGTGATGCAGGGGGGGAAGCTGGGTTGGAACTTGCAGGCGCGCAGGATTACCCTCTCTTCTTTCTTATTGAACTCACCTCTTCTTTCCCCCCTCCCCACCTCCTCCTTGCCCCTCATCCTCCCCTCTGAACACTCAGCAGAAAACGGCTGCTTTTTTAAAAAGAGGGGAAGGGAGAGATGGAAACATCAATGATGAGACAGAATCGCTGTTTGGCTGCCCCCTGCATGCCCCACATTGGGGAAGCCCTAACCGGGAATTGAACTGTGACCTCCTGGCTCCTAGGTCCACGCTCCACCACTGAGCACTCAGTCCGCAGGCCGACGCTCTATCCACTGAGCCAAACTGGTCAGGGCAGTTGCTCTAATTATTATTACCCTGTAATAGCCTTACTTTTATTCTTGAGTGAGGACAGAAAACTTTTGTTTTATTTCCTCTAACCTTCCTTAAACCTATGAAAGGACAGCTTTTGTAGGCTGTAGCTGATTTGGCTCAGTGGATAGAGCATCAGGCTGCAAACTGAAGGGTCCCAGGTTCGATTCTGGAAAGGGCACATACCTAGGTTGCGGGCTTGATCCCCAGTAGGGTGAAGTGCAGGAGGCAGCCAATCGATGATTCTCATCATTGATGTTTCTCTCTCTCTCTCTCTCTCTCTCTCTCTCTCTCTCTCTCTCTCTCTCTCCCTCCCTCCCCCTCTCCCTTCCTCTCTGAAATCAATAAAGATATATTAAAAAAAAAAAAAAAAAAAGGAACCAAAGCAAACCTTTCCTTGAGATCTGAAGACACGGGGGTATGCAGGATCCTCTGGTTGAAACAAGGAAAATAAAGAGTTGATGAGCTCTCCTTCTGTGTCTACAGGAAAATGCTATCCAACGGGGTGTGTACATCGACTGCCCAGCTTCCAGGGAAGGTGGCAGTGGTTACTGGTGCCAACACAGGCATCGGGAAGGAGACAGCCAAAGAGCTGGCTCAGAGAGGCAAGTTTATTTCTAATTCTCTGCTGCTACTGCCATTTTACCTCGCAATGATGACCCTTCTCATTTATTTCCTCCCAATCCTGGAATTCAAGAACATTCCAAGTGCCACACTGATTTGCTGGTGTGAGCCTAGTACAATGCTCTCTATATAATGGGCACTAAATGAGTATTATTGATTAATCTTCTTTCCTGATTTACTCATCAGATTCCTCTGTTGTGAAGTAGGGATAAAATAAATAAAACTCTAGAAATAACATCCAGCATTAGTCTCTATACACACTGAGTGGCCAGATTATTATCTCTGAATGCATAATCAAATATATATATTTGGGGCAGTGCATGAATTTGTGCATAGGTGGGGGGTCTGGCCAGCCTAACCAGGGGGAGGGGACACGGGCAGTTGGCCTGCTTGTCTGCTGGTCAAACTCCTGGTTGAGGGGACAGTTTGCATATTAGCCTTTTATTTTTTTTTATTTTTTAAATTTCTTTATTAAGGTATCACATATTTGTCCTTATTCCCCCATTCCCATCCCCCACACCTCCCCACACATGCCCCCACCCTCCTGTTGTCTTGACCACTGGTTAGGCCCATATGTATGCATTAGCCTTTTATTATATAGTATATATACACTGAGTGGCCAGATTATTATGCATTCAGAGATAATAATAATAAAAGCCTAAGTGACTGGCCATCTGTTCGACCTGTAGCTATGACGTGCACTGACCACTAGATGCTTAACACACAGGCATGAAAAAATGAAACAGACATGAATCTCAGACAGATTCATGCACCGGTGGGGTCCCTCAGCCTGGCCTGCGGGGATTGGACCAAAACTGGTTCTCCGACATTCCCTAAGGGGTCCTGGACTGCAAGAGGGTGCAGGCCAGGCCGAGGGACCCCACCAGTGCACAAATCTGTGCACCCGGCCTCTAGTTAAGTCTGTGATACCCATTCAACAACAAAGCTGACAGTTTTTCTCTTATGCATTGGTTGACAGGAGCACGTGTCTATATAGCTTGCCGGGATGTGCAAAAGGGGGAATTGGTGGCAAGAGAGATTCAGACCATGACAGGGAACCAACAGGTATTCGTGCGGAAACTGGACTTGGCTGATACTAAATCTATTCGAGCCTTTGCTGAGGGCTTCTTAGCAGGTGAGTGCATAACCTGAGACTATTGTGGGTCTTGTGACCTAGATAAAAGGAAAAGATCCCTCTTTCTGTCTGATATGTAGAAATGCCAGATAAATTATTACAAAACAAAACAAAAACACCTTTTGATTCATAGCAAGACTCATTGATAACAAAGGGAAATCCTCAAGAGACAGAAATATAAATTCAATTCTGATAAGTCATGGCAATGAGTAAGAACTAAAACCAAAAATCTCACAGGAGTGTCAGAACTCAACATGAGTTTTAGGTTCTGGAAATGAGGTCTTAGGCCTTTGAGAGCTGGGGAGCTGTATCCGAGGCTCCACATAAGGAAGGTTGGGATCCGCAAAAGGCCATCTGGTCCATGGTACAGGAACTTAAAAAAGCCCAGGCTACCAGATGAGGTACATGACAAAGAAGCTTATCATCTCTTCAGGACACAGATGGATAAAGAATCATCCGCAGGAAATTAGAACCCCCAGCTGGCATCTATGGGACGGGGGAATCTACACCTCCGAATAGTGTTAAGAATCTCAAGCTGACAAATTAACATAAAACCCTGTAGTATCACATGAAAAGCAAATCCAAGAGCATTCTGTAGGCATATCCCCTCATAACCCAGGGAGCTAGGCCTCCTAAGAAAAAGAACTTCCAGCATAATGAGTTTTTAGTCAGAAATTACTAACCACATGAGAAAGGGAGACCGGAGAGAAAGTTGGCAGGTGCAACAAAGAGGTGAAGCCAGAATTTCTTTTGGTGCCTGAATCTCAGTGGTGGGGGTGCATACAGTGTCCTTTCTTCTCTTGCTTTGGAATCTTCCCATCCAGCTGGGAAGTCTGTCTGTTGGGAGAGGTGGATGGGACACTTCCCAGAAGCAGAGAGTAAGTACTTAGCTCCTGAACTGGAAATCTTGAAAAGGCCATTTGATAGCGTAAGATGGAATTTTGTCCTGCATAGTAAAAGTATGCCAGATTCAACTACAGCCTTAGAATAAAAGCAATACAAAGTAAGTATGAAGGGAACGTGGAGGAAAGATTGAAGTCCTGCATCTCCATTTTCCTGCCTCGGTGTGAGGTAGATTTCTAAGATGTAATAGCTATGGCTCCATCCCCTCTTCCCTACAGAGGAAAAGCATCTCCACATTTTGATCAACAACGCAGGAGTGATGATGTGTCCCTTCTCCAGGACAGCAGATGGCTTTGAGATGCATATAGGAGTCAACCACTTGGGTAAGAAATGTGGTCTCACTACAAAAGCTAGAAGGAGCCTGAAGTTCCCCTTGGAAAACTTAGGGGCGAGATTGGGTCTTCTCTACAGTGTGTTTAGACCTCTCAGCCATAATAGACCACCCTATATAATAAAAGGCTAATATGCAAATTGACCTAATGGCAGACTGACTGGTCGCTATGACTTACACTGACCACCAGGGGGCAGACAGACGCTCAACACAGGAGCTACCTCCTGGTGGTCAGAGCGCGCTCACGGGGGGGGGGGGGGGGGGGGGGGGCTCTCCCGCCTCCACGGCAGCGCTAAGGATGTCTGACTGCCAGCTTAGGCCGGCTCCCCCTGGGCCTAATCTGTCAGTCGGACATCCCTCAAGGGCTCCCAGACTGTGAGAGGGCCCAGGCCGGGCTGAGGGACCCCTTCCCCCAAACCCCCCCCCAGTGCACAAATTTCATGCACTGGGTCTCTAGTAAGTAAATAATAAATATCATGGTCCTGCCTGAAAGCTCACTCAACTCCACCACTTTTTAATCTGTGATTCAGATTCCATTTATCGCAGGGCCTTTTTGAACAGCATAATTGTATTGAGGGTTGTGTTGCATTCTTTGTAGTGACCCTTGTGGTCAGCATCAGATAGAGGCTGCCTGCTCTTAAAGAGTGATGTTACTCAAGGTTGGAATGAGATGGGACTTCATATTCACATAATCCAGACCTACCTCATACAACAGCGATTTTCAACTTTTTTCATCTCACGGCACACATAAACTAATTACTAAGATTCTGTGGCACCAAAAAAATATATATATTTTTTGCCAATCTGACAAAAAAAAAAAGTATAATTTTGATTGGTTTACAAATAATAATAATTAACTTTTGGGTCCAAAGTAACTTTAAAAAATCAGGTGCCCCTAGAGTGCTGAACAAAATAAGCCAGTTAGAGAAAGACAAGTATCACATGATCTCACTCTTGTGGAATCTAGTTAACAAAATAAACTGATGGATGGAATAGATCCAGAGACATGGAAGTATGGAACAGAGTACAGAATCTTGTGGAGGAAGGGAGGGTGGTTGGGAGGTGATTAACCAAAGAACTTGTATGCATATATATACATAACACATGGACACAGACAATAGGGCGTGAAGGCTGGGGGCAGGAGGCCAAGGAGGGCTAGAGGAAATCTATGGGGGGGAAAATGGGGACATATGTAATACTTTTAACAATAAAGATTAAAATAAAAAATCAGGGGCCTATACTTCTATATAAGGATTTCTGGTATCAACAATTAACCAAGCAGATGCAACCTTATTATGCAATGTGAACAAGAAAATGAAACTATTATATGACCTATATATTTTTGGTTCAAGACAGGGCTTATACACCAGAGGGCTGTGTAGGCTGTTGTCATTTCATTCATTCATTCATTTTTGTTAATCCTCACCTGAGGATATTTTTTTCATTGCTTTTAGGAGAGAGTGGAAGAGGGGGGTGGGAAAGAAAAAGATAGAAACATCGACTAATTGCCTTCTGCACACACTGTGACCCATTGGTGTGCAAGCCAGCGTTCTAACCACTGGGAAACACTATCCAGAGCTACTGTTGTCATTTTTTAATTTGACAATCTAAGTGAAAAAGGTCAATGCACCTGACTAAATAGTTAGGCATTGCATGTTTTAAGAAATTCTTGCGGCACACTAGCTGAAAGTCTTTGACTGTTTCTGTTTCCTCAAGCCCGCACTGAACTTGTTCTGTCATTGACAATGAATTAAAGAGGCAAATAGCCTTATTCCTGAGTCCTCTGCCTCCCATAGCTGAGCCCTACTCGCCATTACTCCTTTCACCCCTGCATTGGCCCTGAACTCTGTTAATTCTAGTTTTTTTACAGGTCACTTCCTCCTGACCCATCTGTTGCTAGGGAAGCTGAAGGAATCAGCCCCATCAAGGGTAGTGAATGTGTCTTCCTTAGCACATCTCCTGGGAAGGATCCATTTCCATAATCTTCAGGGCGAGAAATTCTACAGTGCGGGTCTGGCCTACTGTCATAGCAAGTTAGCCAACATTCTCTTCACCAAGGAGCTGGCCCGGAGGCTGGAAGGTAGGCTGAGAAGCAATGAGTGTGGAGACGGGATTCGGGGAAGCAGCTCAAAGCCACAGGAATAGAAACTGTTTTCTGAAGCCTGTCCTCTGGCCAGCGCCTGCTTCCATGACTGTAACCTTGTCTAGGTTTAGTGAACAGCTCATTAGTGAAGATTGGAGATGGCCATCAGGGGATGAGACATTCTGACTGTGAGGCTGTAGGCTTGGTTTCACCACTTGCTAGCTGTGTGACCTGCAGCAAGTTAACTTTTCGAGGCTTCCTTCCTCATATGTAAAATGGGAATACTTCACAGGTGTTGTCATAATTCAGGCTTCATGAGCAAGTCAAGGTTTTTTCTTCACAGTGAAACTAAGTAGAAATGAGGGACCTGAACTGGCGCTAGATACAGTCATTAGGATAAAGCAAGTGCAAAGGTGGGTGAGGAGTGGGGCGTGTCTCCCTTACAGCAGAGGGTCTTGAGTAGGGGACACTCCAGTCACAAATCAACACACTTCCTTAGCATCATCCACTCTGGTTTTCCAGTAAAGACAAAGGAAATCCAGGGTGGACAGTTGGAGTTGCTTAGGAGTTGAAGTGAGTAGAGTTCAAGCCGAAGGTCTCAGACACAGGAGCCCCATTGGTCAGTTCTGTTCACATGTCCAGTCTATGCCCAGGACATGACATTCTGACTGGAAATTAAATGAGTTACAGTGTGGGTGGGTTGAGGGGCTGGGGAGCAGTCCAGGTAGAGGTGGGGAGAATGCATGAAGTTCTGGGCTCAGTTTGAGAAACAGAGAGAGGGCCGATATGGTTCAAACATAGAATATAAAATATGAGTCATTAAGAGTACACCTTGAGTGGAAAATAAATAAAAATCCACAGTCCTTTATCTGTCACTTGTGCAATTTATAAAGGACTAAAAATTCAGTTTTTGTATAAGCTGACGCTAGAACACATTGGGCAACAAAACTTCATCTGTACTAGGGAGAGTAGGTAATAGAATATGTATATACACTGAGTGTACATTATTATGATTTCTGAACGCATAATAATCTATCCACTCAGTGTATATCCTATATAATAAAAGACTAATATGCAAATTGTCCCCTTGACTAGTAGTTCGATCAGCAGGCAGGCCATGTCCCCTCGCCCTGGCCAGGCTGGCCAGACCTCTCCCAGGCACAAATTCATGTGACCAGATTATTATGCATTCAGAGGTCGTAATAATCTGGCCATTCAGTGTATATCATATTACCTTTATAATACAGAAAAAAATTGGAAGCATTTCTGGCCCCAAGGATTCCAATGAAGAGTTGGGAACCTAAAATAGCGTATGTATAATATGAATGCCATTTATACCGGTAAATGTATAAATGTATCAGACACTATTTTTTTTTTTTTTTTGAGTATTTAAAACAGTTTATACTTTTTTAAAAAAAATTATTTAAAGTATCACATATATCTTCTTTTTCCACCGATTGACCCCCTCCCTGGCCACTTCCACCCCCCAGAACAACACCAGACACTATTCTAAACTCTTGTACATATGAACTCATTGAGTCCTCAGAACAATCCTGTGAGGAGCAGATCTTATGATTGTCCCCATTTCACAGATGAGGAAACTGAGTCACACCATCTAGAGCTTGCCCAAGGTCACACAGCTAATGAGTGGTAAAGCTGGGATTTGAAACAGGGCAGTGTGCATTCACGTCCTCTGCTCTCTTTGGCCCTTCAGCAACATTAAGTCCTGTCTCCCCCTCTCTTCATGGCACCCCCACCAGGCTCTGGCGTTTCAGTGTATTCTGTACACCCTGGCACAGTCCACTCGGATTTGACTCGGCACTCATTCCTCATGAGATGTTTGTGGTGGATTTTCTCCTGCTTCATCAAGACCCCTCGGGAGGGAGCCCAGACCAGCCTGCACTGTGCCTTGGCAGAAGGTCTTGAGATCCTAAGTGGGAGTCATTTCAGGTAGGAGTGTATCTGTTTTTGAAATTTTATTGCCTAAAGGAAATAATTTGGATTTGTTTGGTGTTGTGTATCCTTTTAAAAAAGCACATTGTCTATAACATAGTTTTTATCCTTTAATTCTAGGGTTTTTACCTTTTAATAGGGGAATTTGACCCATTTACATTTTTTTTTGTGGTAATTGCTAAGTTTGATTTTATTCATATCATCTTTTATTTTATGCTTTCTGGTTGTTTCTTTTATTTTTATATTTTGTAAATTTTCTTTGTTTTTTGTTAGAATCCTAGTTTTAAGAATTTAAACCTGTATTTCTTTATTGTCTTCAGGACTGAAATATTATCAGTGGACTCATTTGTTTTTCTTTTTTTAAAATATATATTTTATTGATTTTTTACAGAGAGGAAGAGAGAAGGATAGAGAGTTAGAAACATCGATGAGAGAGAACCATCGATCAGCTGCCTCTTGCAACACCCCCTACTGGGGATGTGCCCGCAACCAAGGTACATGCCCTTGACTGGAATTGAACCTGGGATCTTTCAGTCCACAGGCTGACGCTCTATCCACTGAGCCAAACCGGTTTCGGCAGTGGACTCATTTCTTGAATAAGTAAAGACTTTTTAAAACTTTTTGTTAGAGAATTTTGAATATACACAGTATTAGACAAAATAGCATGTTGAATTCTCGTATACCCATAATCCAGCCTCAAAAACCATTACCCATGGCCAATCCTGCCCCATCCCAACCTAAAACCCCTCATGAAACAAATGCCCTTCCCATATTTTTCTTATCCCATATTATTTTGAAGAAAATCCCAGATATTACATAGGATCAAATTCTTAGGGTGTTTTTACCTCTACCTTCAAGATTTTATGGAAATGACCTGAAATTTTAGAGAGTGGTCTATAAGTAAACTAAGATTGGGTTTGGAGGTAGGAAGTCAGATCATGAAAGGCCTATAATGCCAGACTGAGAAGAGCCACGGTTTTCAGTAGACAAACATCCTCTGGTCTGTGATTTAAAAAAAAAAAATCCCTGGTGACTTTGTTTAATGAATTAAGTATCCCAAGTGAGAGATAATGAGTTCCTAATTTAGGGTAATGACAATTGGAATGAAAAGAGTGGTTAGATGAGAAAAGCAGAATTTTTGCTACTTGTTGACTTAACTGAGTGAGAGAGTAGGGGAAGATCTGGTGACTTGGGTTCAAGCATGAGTTATTAGGAGATTGATGGTGACGTTAACTGAGACAGCATACATGAAAAATAATGTGTATAACTTTGGGTTCTTTGATTCCACAGCAGTGGAATTGAATTCTAGCTAGCATAAGCAAGAAGGGAATTGACTAAAATCTGAGGATGCTCCTGGTCCAAAGAGAAGACAGAAGAACCAGGCTGTAGTATTTGAATAATTTTTACAGCATATTGTAGCTTCCAAGGCACTTTCATGCCTAGTGTGTCCTTTGCCCTTCACCGCAAATGATGAAGAGTGGGGAGGCACAGTGCAGTGGAGGCTGCAGAGGCCAAGTCATTCCCAGAGGCCTTTGCTTCTCAGTGATGAGTTTTTTTACTTAGAAATGGCAAGCTGTGCTGATGAGTTCCTTAAACCTAAGCACTTTATTTGTAAGGCTTGTTTTTAAATGCAGAGATTTATTCAGTAAGGCATTTTTCTCAAACTTGGATGCATTTAAAAGCCATCTGGAGAACTGGTGAAGAACAGATTCCTAGGCCTCTCCCCAGAGATTCCGATTCAGTAGGTCTGGCATGGGGCCCGAGAATTGGCATTACTCACGGGTTTCCAGGTGACGCTCCTGCGGCTGGTCCATAGCCCGCACGGTCGTATTGGACACAGTGTCAGGGGCTTGCTTCATGTCATGATTTCAGATTTAGCAATTCAGCTTTTTACCTTTGGAATTTGCTTAGTATGTCCAGAAAGCAGTTTTCTTGAGGTTGTTAGTTTTAAAATTTGCTTTTTATGTTATTTCAAAGATTGTGATCTGTTTACTCAATCATTAAAAAAAAAAAAAAAAAAAAAAGCTGAAATTGGTTTGGCTCAGTGGATAGAGTGTCGGCCTGCGGACTGAAAGGTCCCGGGTTCGATTCCCTAGGGCATGTGCCTTAGTTGCGGGGCACATCCCCGATGGGGGTTGTGCGATCAAGGCAGTTGATCGATGATTATCTCTCATCGATGTTTCTAACTCTCTATCCCTCTCTCTTCCTCTCTGTAAAAAACCAGTAAAATATATTAAAAAACAAACGGTTTTTAAAAATGTCCATTTTAGCCATAACGGCCTTTAAAAACAAAACAAAACAAAAAAACAAAACAAAACAAAAAAAACCTTCATTGAAAATCTACTGTGTTCCAGATGCAGAAAATACAAAACTGAATAAAAGTATTATCTTTGAAAAAATTTTCTGGGTGGTGCAAAGTTGGGATATCGCCCTGCATTTAATGGAGACTTAAAATAACTATAATAGAATTACAGCCATGAAGAGAAGGTGTATGAAACACGGGGTGCCTTGCTACCATTTCTTTTCTGCTGTCCTCTTTTTCTTCTTTCATTATTTATGAAGCTGACTTTACTTTTTTTTTTTTAGTTGAAAAATAGTTGGACCAGAAATAAGTGTTTAGTGTTGTTTTATTTACCATTCTAAGTATCTGTGACCAGTGTAAATAGCAGGATCTCAAGGTCCATGACACTGTACAAGATCCTATAGAATGGACCTTAGAGATTTATTTGAACAAAATGGACATACATATCAAGCAGGCACTGATATTACAATTAAATATATACATACAAAGGAGAATATTAAGACTAAATAATAGGCATTTATGTCAAACAAAGCATTCTGATCAGAGGTGGTCTAATGAGATCTAAAATGGTAATTACAGCCAGTGTAGACCTATGAACCAGGAGGTCACAGTTCAATTCCGTTTGATTTCTGGTCAGGGCACTTGCCCGGGTTGTGGGCTTGAGGTGAGTGGGAGGCAACTGATCAATGAGTCTCATCATTGATGTTTCTCTCTCTCTCTCTCTCTCTCCCTTCCTCTCTAAAATCAATTAAAAAATCTCAATGGATTGAGATAATACTTCAGAGAAGGGTAGTTAAAAAAATAAATAAATAAAATGGTAATTACATTGTCTCTGAGGTAAAGATTGGAGGATGAAGAGCTAGGACAAACACTGGATCTGTGAAGGGCCTAGAGGACAGGTCATCCCTGGGTTGTTTTTCTGTCCTATTCCTTATCCCAGGCAGAGGACAGACTCCATTCTTAACCTCTCTCTTTCCCTTCTAGTGACTGCCGTGTGACGTGGGTCACAGCCCAGGCTCGGAATATGACAGTTGCAAGGCGGCTATGGGATGTCAGCTGTGACCTGCTGGGCATCCCTATGGATTAACAGGTGGTGGCAGCTGGACCCGAGAAGTGTGCAGCCGACTACTCAATGCTCCCTGCCAAAACGATCCTCCTTCAGGGCGGCCAAAACCTGGAGCACAAAGGGAGCACACCTTCCAGACTTGGCAGCTTTCTGCCACAGCCATTGAAACGCCTTGCATTTGCCCAGATTGAACTTGCTCCCGTTCTTGCCAGTTACTAGAGATATCACAGGACAGGTGCCCCCTCAGGACCTGCAAGCTCATATTTTCCTTCTGAGACGTGCTACTAGGAGAACTAAGCTGTGGCAGGGTTGATTTGTGGCAGTTTGGACTCGTTTCTACCCTCTCTGTTCACAGTGTATTGTCTCCCAATCAAACAACCTTCACCTGGAGCTGAACTCCAGGAGTCACAGTGGCTTGTCCCTCACCTCTTAAGGAAACTATCATAGTGCCAACATCTGGATTCTTTCAGAAAATGTGACTGAATCTGGAATGTGGCATAGCTGTATCTCTGACAACCTAAAGCCACTGCTCAGACACGTTCCCATGCCTAGACCATGGAAGAGCTTCCTTTTCTAAGACGTTTGGGGGTTTGAGAGGATGGCAGAAATATGGGAGAAGGCAGAAATAAAAATGAAGCTTAAACTCTCATTTTCCTGCTATTTCTCTTACCAGCAAGGAGGTAATGAAAGGCTCCATTTGGAAAGGCAGGCCTCCTGGCATCAGTGACTGCCCCAGACCCATGGAGGCCCCCTTTCTCTTTGGTGATTGCTGTTGAATGTTTGTGTTCTTATGTACTTTTGCAGTGGGGAGTATTTTCACAAAATCTGAAATAGCCACAGAGGAACAGTATTAAACTGGACCCTGATGCAGGTAAATGATTAGAGATGGAGCAAGCCAGTGCCATCCAGTCTTTGGTACAAATGGGTAGAGCTGCCAGGGGAAGCAGATTCTGTTTATGTTGGTAGCTACCCACCAAGAAGCACATGGATAGCAGGAAAGAAATTCAAAGATAATAGGCCTGGAAGGTAAAGGAGGGACTAAAGGACTTTTTTTTTTTTTTTTTTTTTTTTTTAAGTTGTTGATGGTAATATCCAGCTCTAGAATTAAGGATGAGCACCCGAGTTAGCAAGGCTGATAGGGCACTATCTTAAGCACCAGCCAATCAATGTGCAGAAAAAAATACCCTCAATTCCTTATTTAGCGAAATTACCTTAAGGACTGATATTGGTAGTTACAGTCAATTTAATACTCTTTTAGGGTATCTCCTTACATATCTTAAGCTTAAAATGACTATTTGCTTAGAAAAAAAAAAAATCTACATTGCATTTTTTGTAGAACTTTTTAAAATGTGTTTTTGAATTTTTTAGAGAGAGAGGAAGGGAGAAAGACATCAATGTGAGAAACATTGATTGGTTGCCTCCCTTTCGGTGCATGGGATGACTCTCAAGCAACTGAGCCACACTGGCCAGGGCTTATTTGGGGAACTTTTTATCCAAAGTAATGTTGCTAGCCCTAACCAGTTTGGCTCAGTAGATAGAACGTCAGCCTGTGGACTGAAGGGTCCCTGGTTCAGTTCTGGTAAAGGACACATGCCTGGGTTGCCAGATGGATCTCCCTGGGCAGCGGGAGTGGGGGCGGGAGGAGGAAATGCGTATGTGCAGGAGGCAGCTGATGTTTATATCTCCCTCTCTTTTCCTCTCTGAAATCAATGAAAATACATTTTTTTAAAAAGTAATGTTGCCAAAGGAAATCTGAAGAATTGCTACTGTTTTCATCACTTGTTTATAGTATGTTATTCTAGTAAGATTTTGAGATTTTCTTGGACCAACAATTATATATATACTTTGGTGGGGAAAAGCATTATAGGACCAAGTCTTCTCATATTTGTAAATTAATAATCTTTTTTTAAAATTAATAATCTTTTGTTGAAATTGTTTTGACTATATTTAGAAGCGGCCACTTTATGGAAAAATTGGAAAACTTTTTGTAAGAGTGCAGTGGAATAACTGAATTAATATTTTACTTAATTTATATTGATGTCAATGAGAAATAAAAAATTTGGATTATTTAAAAATTGTTTTAATTTACCAGAATAAAAACTGTAAGAATTAAAAGAAAGTTTAATTAGAGTCAACAGAAGAAAACAAAGTTTAATTATAGTTGAAAGAAGAAACACTTCATTATTACAGGTATGCAATCATTTTTCATTCTAAGAATAATTCTAAGAATAATTTGTCCCAGAGTCTATCATACAGTCTCAATTGAAATGCCATTAACTTAAATTGTGTGATAATTTGATCGTTCATTCACCCATTTCTACTTTGGTGATGCTGTTCAAAGATTACTTTTTCCGCCCCAGGTTAGCTCTCCTTTTTGTATTGCCCCTGGGGTAACTGTGGTATATCACAGCACTGCCGCTGACAATCTCAGGCTTTGCTCTGTCCAAATGCTTAATTTTAGGAGATCAACAAGTTTCTTGAATCAATGATTAATGAACTCAATCTAATCAAAATAAGGGTCCAGAAGATTAAAATTACCAAATCATCCTCCTGAACAAACGTTGATACTGTGGGCAGTTTTAAATATTGAACTCTGCCAAACATTTCATAACGGGCTCCATAGGCAAACCATGAAATCGGTGAAAATTGGAATTCCCTTCCATGAAACCATGAAAAATTCTTGGAGTGCAGGAAAGAACTTGAACACGTGACACTTAGTAGGAATGAGACTTGAAGCCGCTTCCCCCTTGCTCACCATGTTATAAATTACCCAGCGCAGAATGAATCTTTTAATCACCCACGCATGGCCTTGACCCTGCACAGTGACTATTAACATTAAACATCTGCTGAGTGCATATTTTGGGGGTCACAATGCCCGGTGACCACTTCGGAAAGTAGGTGACCTCTGGTTGCTTGACACACACCCCTCCCCCTCCCCCCCGGCCACCTTTCAAGGGCTGGAAACTAACATTCGGTCAGTCAGGGGGGCCAAAGGTGCGACGACAAGATAACGTTAGTCCAGTCGCACGCCGACACCAAACCAATACGCTCAGTGTCGCGCCCGGGGAAGCACCGCGCCCCTCAACTCGTGATCTCCAGGTAGGCCCGCCCTCCCCACCGAACTACAACCCCCAGCATGCATTGCAGCGTGCGCCCTACGCCCGAGGCGGGGCCTTGAGAGGGGCGGCCGCGCTGCCGGACCCGCGGTCCCCGCAGCCCCTCCGCTGTGACGCTGTCCCCGCACCCGCACCGGGTGTCCCCAGAGGTCTGAGACTCCCGCCAGCCCGGGCGCGCCGCCGGCTTCACAGGAGCTTCCCGGGCAGCGCAGCCCGCCCGTCTTTCCGTCAGGCTTTTGCGCCCGGCGGCCCCTCGGGGATGGCGTGAAGAGGGTGGGCGTTCCGGTCCGGAGGCCCCTACCGCGGCCCGGAAACGTCTCTTCCGGGGCGGCCGAGGCGGAGGTGGTCGCCGTGATGCCCGCGGGGCTGGGTGGCTGACCACCCACCGCGGGTGGAGCGGGCCCGAGCCCCGAATCTCGGCAGCCGCTGCTCGAGCGCGGCCTGCGCCATGGCCACCTCCGCCGCCTCCTCGGAGCATTTCGAGAAGCTGCACGAGATCTTCCGCGGCCTCCATGAAGACCTCCGGGGGGTTCCGGAGCGGCTCCTGGGGACTGGGGGGACAGGTGAGGGGGCCGGGGACTGGGGGCACAGGTGAGGGGGCGGGGACTGGGGGTACAGGTGAAGGGGCCGGGGACTGTGGGCACAGGTGAGGGGGCGGGGACTGGGGGCACAGGTGAGGGGGCCGGGGACTGGGGGGACAGGTGAGGGGGCGGGGACTGGGGGCACAGGTGAAGGGGCGGGGACTGGGGGCACAGGTGAGGGGGCCGGGGACTGGGGGGACAGGTGAGGGGGCGGGGACTGGGGGCACAGGTGAAGGGGCGGGGACTGGGGGGGGACAGGTGAGGGGGCCAGGGACTGAGGGCACAGGTGAGGGGGCGGGGCCTGGGGGACAGGTAAGCGGGGCGGGGACTGGGGGGACAGGGAGGCGGGGCAGGCGGAGCATTGGGAACTGGCCCCCGTGCTCCAGGAGAAGCCCGGAGCCCTCCTCGCTGCTCTCCTGGTGTTCCAGTTCCCCGTGTACAGCTGGCGGGGCCCAGACCTCCCGCTGCCAAGTAGGATGCTCAGTGGTGGACCTCAGAGTGTCGTTTCCTTGGGATTCTTCATCCAAATTTTCTCATCTCACTTTCACTGCAACAAGTATCGGAGACTTCAAAGATTCGGTTTTGTATTTTAGTAAAATTGATTGTCCTCTGTATTTTGTTTTACATATTTAAATGATTATTTTCTTTTTTTTAAATATATTTTATTGATTTTTTACAGATAGGAAGGGAGAGAGCTAGAAACGTCGATGAGAGAAACATCGACCAGCTGCCTCTTGCACACCCCCTACCAGGGATGTGCTCGCAGCCAAGGTACATGTCCTTGACAGGAATCGAACCCGGGACCCTTCAGTCCGCAGACCGACGCTCTACCACTGAGCCAAACCGGTTTCGGCTAAATGATTATTTTCAAAAGAGGTCCAAAGTTTTCAACAGACTGGCAGAGGGTCCGTAGCACCAAAAGGGTTAAGAACACCCAAAGGAATCATAGTTTTGGGGGTTGGTAAATATCAGTTTTGGGGGGGTTGGTCTTTAAAATCAGGATAGTGGCATGTAGGTGTGTGTCCTCTTAGGAACTTTGTGCTAGACTGTTTCCTGTCCCATTATTTCAAAATTCAGGTTGCTGCAAGCTTTGCCTGGAGGAGCTAGAGTTTTGTAAAATCTGGTGGAAGCACAGTTCTTTGTCTGGTGGATAAGTTCAGGGGTCAGAGTTTGTGGTAGCTATGTGAGTTACCCGAAGTCAAATGAATTGAATTGTGAGAGTGAAATTCATGCATTTGTTTGACTTGTATTTACTGGGAGAGGTTATTGGGTGCCTGGTTCAGCTCCAGATGCTGTTAATATTGCAAATTGCAGTGAAAAGATTTACAATCCCCATTTTAGTGGGTGGATGGTAATATATAAATACTAGAGGCATGGTGGGGAAACCCTCCTCAGCCTGGCCTGAGCCCTCGCGCAGTCTGGGACTCCAAGTGGGCAATTGGACATCCTTAGCTTTGCCTGGAAGGCGGGGGTTCCCACCACTGCCACTGCGCTGCCAGCTGTGAGCCAGCTTCTGGCTGAGCTGCTCCCCTTGTGGAAGCAAACTGACCACCTGGGGGCAACTTCTGTGTTGAGCATCTGCCTCCTGGTGGTCAGTGTGCGTCATAGCTCAGTTGTTCTGCCCTTAGGTTAATTTGCATATTAGCTTATTATTATATAGGTCTGGAGGCCCAGTGCATGAAATTTGTGCAGGGGGGCAGGGGCCCTCAACCCAGCCTGCACCTTCTCCAGTCCGGGGCCCTTGGGGAATATCTGACTGCAGGTTTAGGCCCAGTCCCTGGATTGGGCCTAAACTGGCAGTCGGACATCCCTCTCACAATCTGGGGTCACTGGCTCCTAACTGCTCACCTGCCTGTCTGCCTGATTGCCCCTAACTGGCCCCCTCCCCCATCTCCCAACCCCCATTCCCCCCTCTGGCCTGGTCACCCCCAACTGCCCTCCCTGCAGGCCTGGTCACCCCATGCAGCCCGCTGCTCAGTCATTTGACCTCCCCTCACTAACCCCCCTGCCAGCCTGGTAGGCCTATACAGCCTGTTTGGTCGTCTGTTCAGTTGCGATGGTCACTTAGGCTTTTATATATATATATATATATATATATATATATATATATATATATATATATATATATATATATATATATATATAGGATAGGCTGGAGAGACCCTGTTATGGGCAACACAGGCATACCTCGTTTTATTGCAGTTCTCCTGTTGTGTTTATCAGGACTCCCTTCATCCTTTTTGCCCTGTTCAAGTACCATTTTTACTATTACTTAATTGCTTTCTTTATGTCAACTTATTTCATGTAAATACATTTTTTAATACATGAAGTTATTTAAAATAAAATTTTATATCACTACTTTAAATGAGAAATCTGTAGAACCTATCTAAATGGTCAGAAAAATACAAGGAAGGCAAAACAATGCTAAGTTCGATGTCAATTGCTTTGAAGCTGAAGCCTCTAAAGACATACTAACACCAAAAAGACGTCATACAAAGGAGTGAAAGAGAATCAATAGGGGTGACTTTCTTACTGAGTCAGTTTCATGCCACCACCAGTGGGTATGGCAGAGAAACAAGAGCTATAATGTGCTACTTCCCCAATAAACAGAATAGGTGGGCTTTTATTTATTTACTTATTTATTTATTTAAAATATATTTTATTGATTTTTTTACAGAGAGAAAGGGAGAGGGATAGAGAGTTAGAAATATCGATGAGAGAGAAATATTCATCAGCTGCCTCCTGCACAACCCCCCACTGGGGATGTGCCCACAACCAAGGCACATGCCCTTGATCAGAATCGAACCTGGGACCCCCCTCAGTCCTCAGACTGACACTCATTGCACTGAGCTAAACTGGCCTTGGCTAGGTGGGTTTTTAATTTGTTTTGCAGAAAAGCAGTGGATGAGGGTTAAATAGAGAAGTGCTTTATGGTGTGCATGAAGATGGGGACCCAGATTTCAGAAACAGAATGGTTAAGCATTCTCTCTTTTTTTTTTTTTTTTTTTTTTTTTTGGTATATATTCTACTTTTCTTTTTTTTTTTTTTCTTTTTTTTTTGTTTCTTTTTTTTTTTTTTTTTGTTAATCAATCTTTATTGTTCATATTATTACAAAGGTTCCTCATTTCTTCCCCCCTCCACCAGGTTCCCACCCCACCCTCTGCCCCCTCCCCATCCCCCATTGTCCTCATCCATAGGTGCAGTTTATGTTCAGTCTCTTCTTCCCTCAATTTCCCCAATAGTAAATCCCTTTTCAGATAGTAAATCAGTTACTTAGCATTTTCTCATATCAATAATACCTCCACATGCCCAATGATACACTTCACACAAAAGACATTTCCCAATAGGTCAACTAGCCTCATCCAGGCCCCACCCAAGGCACTCACAGATCAACACCCCAGTCCTAAACTAACTCAACACATCCAGATCTAAGCCTTCATCACTTGATTCAGCAGACCCTCAAGTTCCCACGAAAGTTTCCAGCCATGTCTGAGAAGCAGCCGTGGGGCAGGCAAGGAGCGAGCTGTTCTGGGCCTGGCTGCTCAGGGCCTGGCCTCTGTTGCTCTGGTTCATTCCACAACCAGCTGCTCCGAGTCTGGTCACTGCCGCTCCCGACCTAGTTGCTCTGGACTTGGCTGCTGCTACTCCGGGCCTGGCAGCTCCCAGCCTGGCAGCCGCTGCTCCGGGCCTGACTGCACCCGACCCGCCTGCTCCCCCGGGCCTGGCTGCTCCCAGCCTGGCAGCCGCTGCTCCGGGCCTGGCCGCACCAGCCCCGCCTGCTCCTCCGGGCCTGGCCGCTCCCAGCCTGGCAGCCGCTGCTCCAGGCCTGGCCGCACCAGCCCCGCCTGCTCCCCCGGGCCTGGCCGCTCCCAGCCTGGCAGCCGCTGCTCCGGGCCTGGCCGCACCCAACCCGCCTGCTCCCCCGGGCCTGGCCGCTCCCAGCCTGGCAGCCGCTGCTCCGGGCCTGGCCACACCAGCCCCGCCTGCTCCCCCGGGCCTGGCCGCTCCCAGCCTGGCAGCCGCTGCTCCGGGCCTGGCCGCACCCGACCCGCCTGCTCCCCCGGGCCTGGCCGCTCCCAGCCTGGCAGCCGCTGCTCCGGGCCTGGCCACACCCGACCCGGCTGCTCCCCCGGGCCTGGCCGCTCCCAGCCTGGCAGCCGCTGCTCCGGGCCTGGCCGCACCTGACCCGGCTGCTCCCCCGGGCCTGGCCGCTCCCAGCCTGGCAGCCGCTGCTCCGGGCCTGGCCGCACCTGACCCGGCTGCTTTGGGCCCGGCTGCCCCGGGCCCGGCCACTCCGTGCCTGGCCACTCCCGACCTGGATGCTCTGGGCTTGGCTACTGCTGTTCTGGGTCTGGCTGCTCCCACCCCGGCTGCTCTGGGCCCGGCTTCTCCGGGCCCAGCCACTCCGGGTCTGGGTGTTCCTGGACTGGCCACCCTGGGCTTGGCCGCCTCCGCCTCATGCCTGGCTGCCTCTGCCCCAGGTCTGGCTACTCCAGTGCTGGCTGTTGATGCTCTGGTTCTGGCTGCTGTTGTTCTGGGGCCTGGCCGTTGCTGCTCCAGGTCTGGCTGCCACTGCCTTGTGCCTGGCCACTCTAGGCCTGGCCGTCGCTGTTCCAACATTTTGTCCGTTTTTTTTTTTCTTTTTTTCTTTTTAAAACGCATTTATGTTGCAATGTTGGCTGGTGAGTTGAGTTCTGACTTAGTCTTTGATTTTTCAAGATCTTCTTTGTATTCTTTCTTAAGTAATTTTACTATTTTTTGCTCTCACTTGATTTCTTCACATTGAGAACTTCTTTGGTTTCTTCCTCCTTGTCCTGGGAGCTCAGCAGGTTGGCCTGTGGCACCCCTTTGTTCTCCTCGGGCTCCTGCGCTGCTTCAGCCTGTTGCCGGGACGGCGCCGCCCAGGAAGCAGCCCCCGGCCTTGGCTCCATTGCCCGAGCTCAGTGGTCAAAGGCTCAGGGGCACCCACGCCCCCAGGGGTCCCGTGGCCCGCCTCCTTGCTAGTGCTGGTTGGCTGGAGTCCGGCAGGGGCTTCCGCTCCCCTAGGCGTTCCCCCAGCCTAGAGCTTTTTTTTTCTCCTTCCTGCTAGAGAAGTCCATCATCAGAGTCAACAGACTGTCCTCTGTGCGCAGTTTGCGCGAGTCCCACAGACTGTCCTCTGCGCGCAGTTTGCGCGAGTCCCGGGGGCCCGGCCTTTCGCCGCTCTCCCCAGACTCCACCTCACAGCCCCGTCTCCCTCTGCCTGAGCCTGGGTCCCCAGGGATTAGCCCAGAACTGGGGTTCGGAGCAGTCCGGACTGAGGCTCAGCGCTGCCGGAGGGCTAGGGTAACCCAGCATCAGAGTCAACATTCAGTCCTCTGCGCGCATTTCGCGCGACTCCCGGGGCCCTGTTTTTCGCCGTTTTTCCGCCTCACGGCCCCGTCTCCTCCCACCAGGGCCTGGGTCCCCAGGGTCTGGCCCATAACTGGGGCTCAGCGCTGCCGGTTCGGGGGGGCTCAGCGCTGCCGGTTCAGGGGTTCAGTCCAGGCTGGGGGTTTTATTTCCTTCCTGCTAGGGAAGGAAAGGCAGCTCCCCGCCCTCTCTTCCTCTCTGGCTGCGACCTCTCCGTGCGCGTGTGCGGGCGGGCGCGCCGCATGTCTCTGTACCTTAGGCTTTTTTTCAGCTCCTCTGATTTTCTTTCTGGTTTTCTCTTTCCTTCTTGTTGTAGAAATTTCAGTCAGTCGACTACCTGTAGCTCTGGGCAATGTCCACTCTACATTTTAGTTGTATTCCATTGAAATTGTTGTGTGCTTCCGCGGCTAGATGTCTACCCGAGCAGCCATCTTGGATCCTCCTCTGGTTAAGCATTCTCATTGATGATATTGTGTCTGGTCTTTCTCTTAGGATTGGGTAACAGTGATTAACTTAGACCTACTAGTATAGTGCTTCTTAACAGGGACACTATTGGCCTTTGGGGCCAGGTCATTGCTATGCAGGACTGTTGCAAGCATGGATATTCTTGTTCCTTAGGCACTAACTAAATGCCGGTACTAATACTCTTCCTTTCCCCTTCCCCTTCCCCTAATCACTGTCATAACAAGTTCTCATACTTTCCTAAATGCCTTTTAGAAGTGATTAAGAACTATTACCCCCAACAAGGAAGGAATAGGGAGTTTATTCAACTCAGAGGGAATGGGATTTACAAATGTATGGAAGGAAGCAGGACTGAGCATTTGAGACTGGTGTTATCTTTTCCAGAAGAGAAGAAGAAATTGATCAGAGATTTTGATGAAAAGCAACAGGAAGCAAATGAAACGGTGAGAACAAAGAACAGGTCCTTGTTTCTTTTATCTAGTGTTCATTTTTTCCAAAACTAATGCTTATGACCTAGTCACAGATTAATTGCTCCTGCTTATTGATCCTGATTTTGATTATTTTTTTACTAAATGAGACCAGTTGATGGGAATGGGTATTGGGGGAAAGGGTTAACAAACACAAATGGATAAAGCTGGAAGACTATCCCAAAGTGAGGCTTTGATAATACATTAAAAAAAAAAAATGATGTCCACCAAGATCATTCATTTTCTTTGTTAAACACACTGTCACAAACTGTAGCTCACAGGTGGTTCTAAGACACTTTCCCTTCCATTTTAAAAGAGCACTGTGACTGGATTTGGCATCTTGGGTAAAACCTGCAAGGACGGAATGAGTTCCCAATCAGAACCCAAAGCTGTCAGAAGTTGGCCCGGGTTACTAAGCAGTGTAACAACTGCTTCTCTCTCAATCTGAGGCTTTAAATATAATAATAAAGCTTTGCTCTAACCAATGAGAAGAATCTTCTGTCTCCTTTATGCTGTAGCTTTAGCAGACCCTTTAGAAGATTGGGGCTAAAATCTAGGTCCCTAGTAGTACTTGGCAAAAATAGTTGCCCCTAGTTTTTGATACCCCAGCATAGACTGAGAAGAAAAATTCTTTTTAAACCAGAGAACTTCCTTATTGCTTGAAGAACAACTTCCCTATTTCAGTGAAGTTGTGAGAAGTTAAGTTTATTGCATCCTTTTCTTTGTTACACATCTATTATTCTGGGAATCGAACTCTTGACCCTTCAGTCTGCAGGCTGATGCTGTAGCCACTGAGCAAATTGGCTAGGGCAGTTTTTTCAACTCTTATATATGAAATAGAAATAATATTTCCTGCCTTGTTGATTTGCTATGAGGATTAAATGAATGCATATAAAAATGTTTAATAAGCAATAAGGTACTTGTTCATTTTTTCACTCATTGATCACATACTTTTTGAATACTTATTCTGTGCTTGATAGGCACTGGGCAGACAGCAGAGCAGTGGAGTGAGTGTGTCACATGTGGTCCCTGCCCCCATGGAGTATATCATTGAGTACTTATTTTGGGTTGTCTGGAGTTGGATTAGTCCAAACTAGGCATATGTCAAGATGAAACAGAAAAGAACCAGACTGTCCTCTCACTATTTTCTGCCTTCCTAGCTGGCAGAGATGGAAGAGGAACTACGTTATGCACCCCTCTCTTTTCGTAACCCTATGATGTCTAAGCTTCGAAACTACCGGAAGGACCTTGCCAAACTGCACCGGGAAGTGAGAAGCACGCCTTTGACAGCCACACCTGGGGGTCGAGGAGACATGAAATATGGCACCTACACTGTAGAGAATGAGCATATGGTAAGCTTCAATTGTCTTTTTCCCCTTTGGGCCTGTATACAAGAATTAACCGTATTGTGAAGTACAGTTCATGTTACAGTGTATACTGCACCACACTCGTTTCCCCAACGTTCTCTTTCCTGCATCCAGTTCTCCTTTTCTTGGGTGTTTATCCTACTGTATTTAATGCAGATATTCCCAAACCATATGCTTATTTACTTTTCTATGTATCCTTTATATATAAAACAGGGCTTGGTATGTATTGGTGGTACGCAAGTGTTACCTAATCTTATTATATCTGAACTCTGTATTCTGACCCATTGATCTAGTTTCTTTCTCACATGTGCCCAGAAAATTCAGTTAGATTTTTAATTTATCAGAGTATTGTTACAAAATTAACACAAGCTTTCTTTTACACTTATATGATGACCCAGTAGCCCAGATACAGTAGAGAAGGTAGGGTGCTTCTTAAGGAGGGGCTAATGCCTTGCTCTGTTGCAATAGAAAGAGAGCCAGATTGCTTCTTGCCTCAGAATTCTGATTTATTAAGTTAGACTGACTGGAAAGAAAAATCAATATTCTGTAACTATCTGGAGAAGCTAGAGAGTTAAAGGAATAAAACTTCACAAAGCTTAAACAATGTGTTGCTTTTGGGGTTGTATTCCATAGTGCAAAGTTGAAATGGCCTGGCAAGTAATATAGGAGAGAAATGGAAGTGCAGCTTGCACATATGTAGAAAAGCTGATAGTACCATTTTAAACAAATCCCATTTCATGATGCATCCTTATTATAGTTGAAGAGACATTCAGATGCTGCTGGCCTGACATTGCTGAAGTCAAAACTAGAGTATTTGAGAATAGTGTAAAATTTTCTGAATTCGCTTGTGAAGGGAGGACTGGAAAAAGGCAGGCAAGGCAGGTGGAGCTTGTTAAAGAGAGATGAGAGGTGAAAGTAACTTTGGTCATTTATTTTACACACACACACACACACACACACACACACAAAACAAAAAAGAGGGAGTTAAGTCCAGAGAATAATTTTGCTTTAAAATGATCAGTTTCAGAAATTACAAACACAATTTAGATATATACCACTTTCAGTAGAATTATCTGAGATTGATTTATGTGATCTTACCATCTTTTCCTGTTCTTTCTCAACCTAATCAGTTGAAAACCCCTATCTTTTATTTTTAAAAAGCCTTATTCCTGCTTCTTTTAAGCTAAAGTACCTGAGGGTTAGTTTAACCTCATTCAGTAGTTTCCTCATTCACTGGTCCATATACCATGGATGAGGAATTTTGTTACTTCTGATCTGGGAACCTGTTTTTGAAATTTTTTTTTTTTAATATTTATAGATTAGAGTGAGAGGAAAGACATCAATGTGAGAGAGAAACATTAATTGATTGCCTCGTGTAGATTGAGTCTGCAAGCTAGGTATGTGTCCTGACCCGGAATCGATCCCATGGCCTTTTGGTTTTCGGGACAATGCTCCAACTAACTGAGCCACACCAACCAGGGCCCATTGTTAGTTTCTTGATGGTGGGATCTAGTGCTCAGAAATAAGCCCTGTGAACTGACCTCTTTTTTAATGTGTGTGTGTGTGTGTGTGTGTGTGTATACATATTGTTTTTAAAAATATTTTAATTATTTAAAAGTATTTTTAATTACTTTTAATAATTTAATATTTGTATTTATAATTTTGAGAGAGAGAGAGATCTATCCATTGTTCCAATTATTTATGCATTCATTGACCCTATATGTGCCCTGACCAGGATTAAACCCAAAACCTTGGAGTATTGGGACGGCGCTCTAACCAACTGAGATACCTAGCCATAGCTACACCCATTTCTATCAGTGGTTAATTCCGGCCTGACAAAGGCTACTTGTTTCCTTATGTCTTCTGTGCTTAGGATTATAGGTGGAGTAAAACTTTAATGGGGATTTGGGAAATTAGGGCAGCTAGGCCACTTTACTTGGCCCTAAATACCTTCTTCCCCTGAAAGCAAATCACCAGTGTGACCACTTAAGTTTTTTCAGTTTTTGTTTTCTGTTTGGCTTGAAGTGAAATTTTTTGGGGCTTACCAAGAGTGTGGCCACTAAAGTTTTTTCTTCCAGAATGTGGCAGTGTCCCACCTAGACTTCTAATATGTACTGAAAAGGATTAGCTTATGCATGGTCCCTTAATCCTCAGTACCAATCAGGTAGGGCTGTTCATTGAATTTATATGTTCTAAGGCTGTAGAGTTTAGTTGGCCCATCAGTTATAAGTATTTGCATTTTTAAGTAGCTCCTACACCCCAAATCTGGGCCACTGTTTCTCAGAAGTTGCTAGTTCAGGAAGCACATGAACCAGTTTAAACTCATTACAAACAAGGGAAAATGCTCTGATGTTTTTAATCCTCCTTACCTTACCTCACTTAAGTATAACAGGCAGTGCAGTGAAAGGTATGGTGATCCTGATTGGATTCCAAGTCCTGCTTTAGTCTGACCTTGAATAGTATCTTAGGGTTCATTACCATCCTTATATGTCTTAAAATAAAGAAAAATAGCCTAGCCAGCGTGGCTCAAGTGTTGAGTGTGGACCTAGAACCTGGGAAGTCACTCTGATTCCTCATCAGGGCACCTGCCCGGTTTTGGGCTCAATCCCAAGTAGGTGGCATGAAGGCAGCCAAACAATAAAAATATATTTTTAAAATAACAGTAATGAAAATTAGTCGTGGCCAATATGGCTCGGTTGGTTGAGTGTCCTTCTGTACACCAAGAGGTCACTGGTTCGATTCCTAGTCGGGGCACATGCCCAGGTTTCAGCTCTATCTCCAGTAGGAGGCATGCAGAAGGTAGCCAGTTGCTGTTTTTCTCTCATCAGTGTTTCTAACTCTCCCTTCTTCTCTCTCTAAAATCAATGAAAACTTATTTTAAAAAAATAATGAAACTTATTGCACACTATATCCCTTCTTACTTAAGAGTGTTCATAAGGATTGTGCTGGCAATTACTTTATAGTGGAAGAAGTCTAACATTTCTCTTTCATAATCCTGTCAGAATCAACTACAGTCTCAGAGGGTATTGCTTTTGCAAGGCACTGACAGCCTGAACCGGGCCACCCAGAGTATTGAGCGTTCGCATCGGATTGCCACAGAAACTGATCAGATTGGCTCAGAAATTATAGAAGAGCTGGGGGAGCAACGTGACCAGTTGGAACGTACCAAAAATAGAGTAAGTACGGGCGAATGAGGAAAAGGAGCAAGAGTGGGTAAAGTAGGAAGGCCCATTATACCCTGATGGCTTGTTCCTGCCCAAGGCTTCAGCAATTCTGAATTCAGAGTAAATGCCCTTTTAGGGTCTTATGCTTTTCTCAGTTTTTAATTTGCATGGCCGAGAGATCTCCCTTGGAAATAATTTTAACTCTAAGATTTAGAGATCATTGGATGGGGGGAAAAAGAAAGACTGAAGAAACTTGATTTCTGCATTTCTATTCAAATAAACATAAGATTGCAGCCACTCTGAGGTTTTGATTTCTCTTACATCTAGTGGGATATTCTGCTATTCTTATGAAAGTATCATCTGACAAGATCCTAGCTTTCCTGTCATTTAGAACCAAGGCTATTTTCCACATGTCATAAAATAGCAATTTGTAGAGGTTCAATCCTGGACTGTAACTGTACTGTTACCGAAGGTAAGCTGGATCACTGTGGGAAGCAAATGGAAATAGGCCAACGTTGGCTGTATTGGGGCCTCTAATCTTTCACTCTAAAAGGCTCTGAAAACTAACATTCCTTTTCATACATTTGTATGGAAATTTTGGAAATAGTACAACTTGCCAGTAGAATGCTGTACTCTTAACAGCACGAAGCAAATCTAAACTGAAAATCAGATACTGTGGATAAAATTTAAATGGGAAAATATGGTTCATTGTGGAGGTTTGAGATAATTTTCTCAAACTTCTTAATAGCTCTAATTTTCCATTCTCAAAATGAGTCAGAATGATGCCCTTCCCTCCGTGAAAATTCACAACAAAGTATAAAATTTAAGGTAAACTCTAGAAAAGGTAGCTTACTTACAGTTTTGATTTTTTACTTTTGTACATACCAGGTGAATTGGCTGAATTCAAAAGCCAAGGAATGGTCTGAGATCAGCTTACCGAGGCCATTGGGGATTGGAGACAGATGGCAAGTGAAATATCCTCCAGCTATATAGATTAGTACCAAGCAAGCAAAAGGGAAAGGTTTAAAAAAAAAAAAAAAAAGGCTTAAAAGGATTAATTCCTTTCAAGCCTTTCACAATTCAATGTAAGTATCTCTTAAAGGGATAGAGGAAAAAATAACCATATTCCAGGCGTGGTAATCCACCAGCCTATGAAAACAGACTGTAACTCAAGAGGCTCTCCTGGAGTTAGACTGGTGAAATTCCAATCTTAGATTGCTTCAGTTACTGGCAAGGTGTACACTTGATGCCTTTCTGTTTTTGAGTAGCCAAGCACGAGCTCTGTCCCAGAAGTCCCTTACACAGCCTTGGGATATAATTCCTAAACCTACTTGACAAGTACTAAAGTATCTTGTCCTCTCCAGTTTCTTCTAATTATACTCAGAGGCCATCTTTTAAATTGGTTTGATTTCAACATATCCTCCTTAATGCCCACTGTCAGTTTTGGAATGTTCAAATTCTAGAATGTATACTTTTGAAAGAAGGGGTCAATAATCGCTATTTTCTCTTCTCAGCTGGTAAACACAAATGAAAACTTGAGCAAAAGTAGAAAGATTCTCCGGTCAATGTCCAGAAAGTAAGTTGTTTTTTTTTTTTGTTTTTTTTTTTAATATATTTTATTGATTTTGTACAGAGAGGAAGGGAGAGAGATAGAGAGTTAGAAACATCAATGAGAGAGAGTCATCGATCAGCTGCCTCTTGCACACCCCCTACTGGGGACATGCCCGCAACCAAGGTACATGCCCTTGACCGGAATCGAACCCGGGACCTTTCAGTCCCCAAGCCGACGCTCTATCCATTGAGCCAAACCGGTCCCGGCCAGAAAGTAAGTTTTAAAAAATAGTCACAAAATTAATTTCCCTTAACTCTTATGCCTGTCAACCAAGAGTATAAAAGCTTTAAACTGTGACTTGCAAAGGTTCTAATAAAGCTGAAGAAATAAAGAATATTGTCTTGTGTAGTTAAATATCTCAAGACAAAATCTTTTGTTAAGCCGAAACTGGTTTGGCTCAGTGGTAGAGTGTCCTTCTGAGGACTGAGGGGTCCCGGGTTCGATTCCGGTCAAGGGCATGTACCTTGGTTGCGGTCACATCCCCGGTAGGGGGTGTGCAGGAGGCAGCTGGTCGATGTTTCTCTCTCATCGACGTTTCTAGCTCTCTATCTCTCCCTTCTTCTCTGTAAAAAAATCAATATATTTATTTAAAAAAATCTTTTGTTAAAAGTGTATGCTAAAAGAAAAAAAAGAAAAAATAAATAAAAATAGAATAAAAAAAGAAAAAAAAAGAAAAAAAGAAACAAAAGAAAAAAAAGTGTATGCTGTTCTGATTTGGAACAGTGTAAAATTTGTCCTTTGAAAGCATATATATATATATATATATATATATATATATATATATAAAATGTATAAAATTTTAGAGAGGAAGAGAGAAACATAAATGAGGACAGTCATTGATGTGCTTGCTGCCTTCTGCACACCCTCTAGCTGGCAACCCAGGCATGTGCCCTGACCAGGAATCAAACTGTGGCCTCCTTGTTCATAGGTTATCATTCAACCACTGAGCCACACTGGCTGGGCCAGTGAAAGCACTTTTATTCCCAACATTCCTTAGAGAAAACAGCACATAGGAGTAATACAGCTTCATATTTGTAAAAAGTTGATTTAATATTTTTTAGAAATATTTATTAGAAAATATTTATTAGAAAATATTTTCACTGCTACTGCTTAATACTTACTTTTGGCTCTGCTTGCTCTTCATGGGAGTCAATCTTTTACCTGGGAATTCTGTCTTGTTAGCAAAAAGTTGTTTTAAAAAAAAACACTTGAAATAAGTGCTGATAACAAAATGTATTTGGAGTAAGTGGTAGTATGCATGGTTCAAAATCACAATTGAGTCATGGAATTATCAGAAGAGTGAGATTTTCCTAAATAGTTGTAAATTCCTTATGGAATAGGGGGAAACCTTCAGTTTAGAGTGAACATGAGAACCAGAGATTGGATTCTTTGTATTAACAAAAGACAGTGGATTTTTCTTTGAAGCTCTTATATTGCCTTCGTAGAGATACCCATGGGGAAAGAGAAAGTAAGAGAGATGCTACCCAGCTTCTGGTTACTTGGCACCTGTCCCTGCGCTGCTCATCAGCCCTGGCAAGTCTGCCACAAATACTCCTCTAACATGCTCTCAACGTAGTATATAACTGATATGGCTCTATATATTAGATACTATTGTTGCTAACTTTGAAATATGATTTAGCCTGGTTTCAGAATAGGTGTATTTTTTCATATTATATTTAATATACTATTTTCCTAACTAGACCCTCCTAGAAAAGCTAGTTCTCAAGTGAAGAAATAGCCCTGGTTGGAGCATCATCCTGTACATCAAAAAGTTGCATGGTTTGATCCTTGGGTTGGGTTGCGTTATTGGAGGCAACCTCTCACATTGATGTTTCTCTCCCGCCCCCCCCCCCTTTGTCAATAAAAACATGTCCTCAGGTGAGGTTTTTAAAAAAAATAAAGTGAGGTAGTAACTACTATTTGAAGACATTTTAGAATAAAAATAACATTTTTACCTTTGATATAATCCCAGTTTTCAACATTTCTGGGAGGTAGATAGTGTTTTTTCTCTGTTATAGCTGAAGAAGCTTTTGAGTTGTCACTTAACCAGCTAAAGAACGTTATACTGGCATACCTTGAATTATTGCGCTCTGCAGATACTGCTTTTTTTTTTTTTTTTTTTTTTTTTTTACAAATTGAAGGTTTATTTATCAGTGCCATTTTCCCAATAAGCTCATTTTTAAATTAAGTGTTGTTTTTTTTAGACATAATGTTATTGCACACTTAATAGACTGTAGTCTAGTGTAAACATAGCATATGCATCACAAAACAAAAAAGTTCATGTGACTCACTTTGTTACTATATTTGCTTTATTGTAGTGGTCTGGAAACTAACCCGCAATATTTTTGTGGTATGCCTGTATATACTTACTGCTAAGTGGCTATGAGATCAAACAAAAATTCAGTCTACCTCACAGTGTCTAGCCTTGGTCCCATGTCAAACCTTAATGTATTAAGAATGGAAAGAGTCCAGCTGGCATGGCTCAGTGGTTGAGCATTGACCTATTAACCAGGAGGTCATGGTTCGATTCCCGGTCAGTTGCACATGGCTGAGTTGTGGGCTCAGATCTCCAGTGTGGGGCATGCAGGAGGCAGCTGATAAATGATTCTCTCTCATCACTGATATTTCTATTTCTCCCTATCTATCCCTCTCTGAAATAAAAAATAGATTTTTTTAAAAAAAAGAATGGAAAGTAATAAGATTATCCAGATTTCTGACTGTTCACTTGTTTCTGTTTTTAGAGTGACAACCAACAAGCTGCTACTTTCCATTGTCATCTTACTCGAGATAGCCATCCTGGGAGGCCTGGTTTATTACAAATTCTTTCGCAAGCATTGAACTTCCTGCGTGGAAGGGTTTGTGGACCAGAACTTTGACCCTGAGAGTGAATAGTGTTACAGATGTGGAATAAGTGTATTGCTGCTGTGAGCTAACGGTTCAAGATGCACTGTGTAGCCAGACTGTGGGAAGAGGGAGGGAAGATGGAAAACCAGCTAATGTGAAGAAACAGCAACAAGACCAGTGTGATATACCAAGGTAATAAATGCTGTTTATGACTTCTTTAAATTTACATGTACTCCAACATATTAATACCCCGTGAATTGCAAAAAAAAAAACCCCACGAATACATTTACATTATTATCATTGGTCACCAAAATGGAGAGGGAAAGGAAAATTTACAGTTGTGAGAATATGCAAATGTTCTCATTAAGGCAGTATTGACCCAGATGACCATGTAGTATCTGCCCCCTCAAACACCTCACAACTCTGGAATGCCCATTGTGACGATTGTGTCAGCATACAGTATTTCCTAAATTCTCACACGTTCTTCATTTTCTGATTCATGTGGTGAACTGGGAGTAGGAAGTTGGTCATAGACATTGTGCCCTCCTTCCCTTGTCTGACCAAAACTTGAAGCAATCACATCCACTGCCAGGCCAGCTGTAGCCTTGGCTTCTTCATCTGAAGCAGCTAATTCGGGATTAACTTCAACAAGATCCAGTGCTGACAGCAACCCTGAAAGAACAAAGTGTGACAAATCCTCAGAAAATCCCCTAGCTGCTGCTTTCAGTAAGGGTTGTACCCCCTGGACAGAATAAACGAAGGTAAAAAAACCAACCATTTTCTACTGTAACAGCCACTGTCAGGAAGCCCCTTATACCTTATTAAAACACTGCTATAATGCCCTGGCCAGTGTGGTTGGGTATTGTCCTATGCACCAAGAATTCACCAGTTCAATTCCCTATCAGGGCACATGCCCAAGTTGCAGGCTCAATCCCCAGTAGGGGGCGTGCAGAAGGCAGCTGATCATTCTCTCCCTTTCTCAAAACAAAACAAAACAAAACAAAACATTTAAACACACACACACACACACACACACACAATACCAGCCCTAACCGTCTGTGAATCAAAGTGTTACAGGTTCAATTCTGATCCTGGGTTGCAGGTTCCCTACCCTCACTGGTAGGGGAGGCAACCAATTGATGTGACTCACATCGAGGTTTCTCTCTCCCCCTTCTGCCTTCCCATTCTCTCTAAAATCAATGGGGGGAATATATCCTCTAGTGAGGATTAACAAACAAGAAAAAAAAAAAACAGCTGAAACCGGTTTGGCCTCAGTGGATAGAGCGTTGGCCTGCAGACTGAAAGGTCCCAGGTTCGATTCCGGTCAAGGGCATGTACCTTGGTTGCAGGCACATCCCCAGTAGGGGGTGTGCAAGAGCCAGCTGATCAATGATTCTCTCTCATCGATGTTTCTAACTCTATCCCTCTCTCCTCCTCTCTGTAAAAAAAAAAATCAAAATATATTGCCGAAACCGATTTGGCTCAATGGATAGAGCGTCAGCTCGGGGACTGAAGGGACCCTGGTTCGATTCTGGTCAAGGGCATGTACATTGGTTGCGGGTACATCCCCAGTAGGGGGTGTGCAAGAGGCAGCTGGTCGATGACTCTCTCTCATCGATGTTTCTAGCTCTCTATCTCTCTCCCTTCCTCTCTGTACAAAATCAATAAAATATATTAAAAAAATAAAAATATAATTCAAAACAAAACAAAAAAGCATCAAACTACTGCTATATTAGAGTAGAATTGAAAGAAACCTTTAAGGTAATAAAATCAATCCCTCTTCAACTGACATACAAGGCATAGCTGTCAAGCTTTGTGAAAGGAATAAAGAAAGGGCTTGGGAGGTTGTGGGTCAAGGAGTTCCCAACCTACTTGTTGGGAAAATGTGTGCCATTTCCAATATTAAGGAACTTTCCAGATGCCTGCCTGCATGTAGCCAGAGCTCTATTCCCACTTTTGACTCTGATGCTGTATCCACATACTTAAGGAACCATGTGCCCTGAAATATAGCTACTATTGCAGATCTTACTCACTCCTGCAGGTCTGAGCTCTGAGGGCAGATTCTACACTTATTTCCCCGCCACCACCAGCACCACTCCCTCACCCTCACTTCTCTGGGGTAGATAACTTTTTAGTTGGGTATTCCGAGTGAAGTTAATCTACCTTTTCAAAAATTACCTGAACAAACTAATATTTGAGAATACAAGTATCTGAGAATATTTAGAGTGGCCATAAAGCCTGGAAACATGAGTGAATATTGCTAATGGTTTATTGGTATTACATTATAGTACACTAGAGGTCCAGTGCATGAAATTCACAGCCCTGGTTTCATCAGGAAGGATGTCCAGAAGGTTGTTCAGCTATCCAGTCTAATTAGTATATTAAGCATTTATTATTATAGATGATATGCTCATTGCCATTATACCTATTCAGTGTTAACAATGTATAGTTCAATGCACTGTGCAGAATTTTGGTGAGCAGCACATTACTGTACCACTTCCACCAATTCCTGCACATGCATATGCTTCTCTGATCATTTGTGTGTCCAAATTCCACCGACTAAAGCTGGACCTTCAGCAGAGCCCAGAAGTATAAATATCATCTTAAAAATATATATATATATATGTGTATATATATATATATATATGTGTGTGTGTGTGTGTGTGTGTGTGTGTGTATTACCCATGTTTCTATATTATTGCCACCTGTAAATTATTTAAGCAAACTACTTTATGTGTCTAATTGACAGTGTCATGATACAGTCATTTAGAATACAGTAACACTATAACAGGAGAGAGGGTGTCAAGGTATGACCATCTCCCATTCTAAGTATTAGCTGTTACTAAGCCCTGGCTCTAGTAGTGTCACTGGGAACCAAAATGGAGGATTGAACTCCCAGGTTCATTTGCCACCAACCTAAGGACGATTAACATCTAAGATTGTGAGCCTGAAAATGAGACTACCTTGCCTCTGTCAGATCTGATAGATAAGCATTATTTTCCTTTTTGTAGTGCCTAAGAGTCTAGTTGGCTCCAGAGCCAGAGGACAATTTCTCAATTCCCACATCTATCCCAATGGTCAAGGGTTTTCTCTCGCCCTGGCTAGACCTTTCAGTCTCAGGCTTTATGCTATTTAGACCCTATTTTCATGAGATAATATTGAAGTATCATGCGGGAGTTGTTTAAATTTTGCAATTAAAGGTCATTTAAAGTAACCTTAAAACTAAGAAGCTTTCAGACAAATGGAAACAGCTACCCTGCCTAGTGTTGGTTAGGGCCTCAGCCTGCTCACCAAAGAGTCTTGGGTTCAATTTCCGGTCAAGGGCAGGTACCTGGGTTTCAGTTTGATTCCTTCAACCCTGCTTTTGGGGTGCACATAGGAGGCAACTAACCGATGTGTCTCGCTCACATCGATCTTTCTCTTTCTCTCCCTCCCTCCCTTCTACTCTCTGAAAAGCAGTGGAAAAAATATTCTCAGGTGAGGATTAACAAAACAAACAAAAAATTTATTTTTTAAAGAAAGAAACTGTTTGTAAACAAATATGAGTTTTGGGACAGTAATTCCTTGGTAGCCACTCTTGATAACCTAGTATTCATTAATTTAATCTTTCTGTCAACCATTTATTTTCCACTGTTCCTGTATTAAAGCTCCTATTAAACAAGCTCCAATATAAGACTTGCTCTACATGTAGCTTTGAAATATCTCCAAGAGAAGCTTTAACTCCGCATTCCTAACTCCCAGCAAACCAACTTCTTAATTTAAGGTAAAAATTATAGCTAGTTGGTATTGGCTTTTAATCTTAATGGGCCTTTGGACAGTTCAGATGCAAAGAACTGCATTAGTTTGGCAGGTTATTCTTGTGTATACTAAGTGTTTAAGAAGACAACTTTGTATTCACTATTACCTTAGCATATTTTGGTATGAGCCAGATGCAAACATGCCTCTAAATGACTATCCCTCAGTAGCCTGACTGCATGACTTTTAGCAATAACCAGGTTAGGCAAAAACAATGTTTACAATGACATGAAAAGTAGAAAAGACTCCTGGAAGACAAGAGGCTTCACATATTTACCTATATAGTGAACAGGTTAGTCACTACTTACCTGTGTTGTGTATTTCCTCAGTAATATACATGCCTTCTCGATAGGTCAGTCCCCCCATAACAGGAGTTCCTGTGGCTGGAGCCAGTGTAGGGTCAAATGCATCAATATCAAAGCTCAGATGGATTGGCCTTTGTCTTCTTGAAAGGAGAAGAATAAGAGAATAGTCATTTGCTTCTGCCTGAACATTCATGCTCCCTGCAGATGCAATTTCTTGATTTTGTTGCTGTTAGTCCTGGTACTTTGTTAATGCATCAGATTTCCAGGTTTTTTATTTTTGAAGTTACTGAGTATTTGCCCATTAATTTTTATACTTCATTCGATCATAATTTTGCCATGTTCTGTGTGCCTAAGACTAATTCCATTTTTTATATATATATATATATATATATATATATATATATATATGATATATTTTATTGATTTTTTTACAGAGAGGAAGAGAGAGATAGAGTTAGAAATATCAATGAGAGAGAATCATCGATCAGCTGCCTCTTGCACACCCCCTACTAGGGATGTGCCTGCAACCAAGGTACATGCCCTTGACCGAAATTGAATCCGGGACTTTCAGTCTTCAGGCTGACGCTCTATCCAATGAGCCAAACTGGTTTCGGCTCCAATTTATATTTTTGACTTAGCCTGAGAATTAAAGCCTCCTACATAACAATTGTCAGTAGAGGGAATTCTTCACTTTTATATAACCTTGGGCTCTGATAGATTCTAATTTCATTTGTATTACATTTGCTTTTATTCAGAGTGTAACAGCAGCTGAACTTAACTCTGACTTTAGATTTGAAATCTTTTTTAAAAATATGCTTTTATTAATTTTGGAGAGAGGAAGGAGAAGGGAAGGGAGAGAAAGAGAGAAACATCAATCAGCTGCCTACTCCTACTGGGGATCAAGCCCAAAACTTGGGCACGTGTCCTAACTGGGAGTCGAATTGACCTCTTGGCACATGGGACAATGCTCAACCAACTGAGCCACAACAGCCAGGGCTAGATCTGCAATCTTATCATCTCCCAATTCTAACTTTAATTTATCCCAGATGTCCAATGACTGAAACTACATATGACACTTATATGCTAAACAACTAAATTTCTTAGCAGATGCACTGAGAAAATGCTCTTACTAGCATTTGATCAGCATTCACCTGCCATCTTTATCCACCACCAAGTTTTGCTTAATATAAAACTTCTTTCAGTGTGGGTCAGTTGGAGCATCACCCTGTACATTGAAAGGTCACAGGTTTGATTCCGGTCAGAGTACATAGCCAGGTTTTGAGTTTGATTGCCGGTTGGGGTATGTACCGGAGGCAGCTGTTCAATGTTTCTCTCTCATACCTCTCTCTCTCTCTCTCTCTCTCTCTCTCTCTCTCTCTCTCCCCCCCTCCCTCCCTTCCTCCCTCCCTCCTCTCTCTCTCCCTCCCTCCCCCCTTCCTTTTTCTAAAATAAATTTGAAAGAGCATATCCTCAGATGAAGATTAAAAACAAAAAACTCATTTCAGATGAAAAAATAGGCTAGGAAGAATGGTACAATTAGAACAATGAATGCTTCTCATATTAAAAGATAGCATTAAAAATGGAGCTAAAGAGAAGTTCATGAGAGAGAGAGAATCTGGGTAATAATTTCAAGGTAATCCCCTCGCAACCCCAGAGAAAGAATATTACCTATGTTTCATATTCTCCCTTTCTAAATTATTTGAAATTTTTATACATACATGTTTTGCTTTTATTTGAAAGAAAAGCTACTATCAAGAGAAAAGCTAAAGTATGCTGCCCTTTGGGAGCTGCTATATTACCCTGGGAGCCTAGCGTAGACATCTATTGTAGTTACTTACTTGCCAATCAGCAGATCGAATGTCTGTTCCATGACTTTCTGGATACCAAGTCTATCTATGTCTCTCATGGAAAAATACTGGATATCATAATTCTTTAAAATAAAACTGTAGTGAGATATAAAGGAAGGAATCGTTAGTTTAAATAGCAAGTTAAATGCACATTTAGATGGGGTTTTGTCTTTACAGTGGTCTTCAACAAGTTAAGGCAAGGACAATCTATCAAATGAGATGGAAGTGGCCAGATGGGCTCAAAGTTTAACCCTATATCTCAACTTACTGTTCAGGAGGGTCCACATCTCTTAGACCAATATACACAATACTTGGGGAAGAGATGCAAGGTTTGATCCAGGAAAATCCTGGGAGCTGTGGCACCTATGAAGAGAGAAGAATGAACAGGATTCATCAAGGATTTTTGGTCTCACCAAGATAATCACCATGTGCTTCCCATTATAGCAGTTTGCTTTGTCATCCATCTACAAGATATGCTTAAGCAACACAAGACACACCTGATCTGGGAAGAAAATTGATACAAATAGAAATGATTCAGAAAGGCAACTGAAGAACACAATATAGCATTCTCAAGCAGAATAAAAATTTCTTCTCCTAAGGTGGTCTTGGTTTCTCATTAACTTACCTAAATAGCAGGAATACTGCTGATTAGCCCTTTTCATATTACTGAATTATTTACAGATTGGTTCTTGGAACATAATCCAGTTGTCATCCTCAAGTTGCTGACAGCCAAAACATGAATTCTGCCTAATGAATAACCTTTGTTATTCCTGGTTAAACTTGGTCCCTCACTGAGGGGAGGAATAAACAGATTCTAGTCTATACCTAGACTCCAGTGTCTTTTGAACAGCCTAGAAAAATATTACCTAGAGGTAATCATGGTTTTACTTGGATTCTAACAAATGCGTCTGAAAGTGATGCCTGGGAGCCTGTAACCAAGAAGTCCTCCAGCTGTGGGTGTATCGATCACTAGAGTTACCCAGTACCACCTTCCTTACGAACCCCCAAGAGCAGGGACCATCTTTATATTCCTAGCCATGTTTATATTCCTAGCATCTAACAGACTGCTGGTCCATAATAATGTTCGATGAACAAATGAAGGCATTTCTACCACTGGCAACCCATCCTTCACAGAAATCTTACCGAACTGGACCCTCAAGCCCCTGCAAGCCATTCGACTTTCTTTTTTTTTTTTCTTTTTTTTTTTTTTTAAATATTTTATTGATTTTTTACAGAGAGGAAGAGAGAGAGCGAGCTAGAAATGTCGATGAGAGAGAAACATCGACCAGCTGCCTCTTGCAGACCCCTTACCGGGGATATGCCCGCAACCGAGGTACATGCCCTTGACCGGAATCGAACCCGGAATCAGTCCGCAGACCGACGCTCTACCACTGAGCCAAACCGGTTTCGGCCCATTCGATTTTCTTTTCATCTTGGCCTACTGACCTTGTCCTGTAGTTCTCGGAGGAGAAAGGAAACGGGCTGTCCATGGAGACATCCAGATGAAGTGGTGAGGGGTGTATTAATGTCAGCATGGGCATCAACCCAGATCACACAAAGGTCTGGGCAGTGTCGGGCATGGCCACTAATGGTACCAATTGCCAAGCTGTAAAGAACAAATATAGATGACCCTTGAACAACAGGTTTGAACTACATGGATTTCTTTCAAAAATACCTGTAAATATTTTTTTGTTTGTTTGTTTTGTTAAACATTCTCACCTCAGGGTCTTTTTTCCATTGGTTTTCCAGAGAGGGAAGGAAAGAGAGAGGGAGAGAATGAGAGAGAGAAAGAATGCGCATGTGCCCCAACAGTGGCCAGGGTTCAAGTCTGCAGCCGAGCCGAGTATGTGCCCTTGACCAGAATCAAACCCAAGACCCTTCAGTTCATGGGCCGACGCTCTAATCACTGAAACAAACGGTAATTATTTTCAATCCACGATTGGAAGTCTGGATGCAGAGGGTCAACTATATGCATTGATCTATACCATTACCATTTTAGATAAAGGACTTGAGTATCCACTGATTTTGGTATTGGTGGGAGGGCCTTGGAGCCAATCCTTTGAAGATACCAAGGGATAACTTAAGTTTTTGATGAGTCAAACGTTGTATTTGGATTTTTCAACTGTGCAGGGGGGTGAGCTCTTAATCCGAGTTGTTCAAGGGTCATTAGTCTCCAATAATCTTCAAGGCCCTCTGCTTGGCAAACATCACCAATAACAAATGTCCTCAGCCAATGCAGCTCATACTTTGTCCTCGGGGCAAAGTCAGGGCTCCAGACTCAGGCAGGATTTGGATGAGACAGAATCTACGGGGCTGAGGTTAAGTGAGTTAGATAGGGAGAAATGGAAGGCTCTACACGTTCAAAGCTGACCACTGGTTATCCCCTGCAGTGTGACAGACTGCCCCAATCCCTAAAATCCAGAAAGGGACCTTAAATACTTGTTCAAGAAGGAAATCCAATTCAAGGATGTGGTCTATATATAACAACTCATAAATGCCTCTTTAAGGGAAACCAGGGAGATATAATTATCACTTTCAAAGAATTAGTTACATTAACTTTTAAGTCAGCCTTATAGCTTTTAAAAATAAATGATACTTTCTAAAATGAAAAATCAAAGTTAAGTCTTTAACAGAGCAACCCAATTAAAAACCTCTTTTAAAGCACTGAATAAAATACAAGTTTATTTGCATGTTATATTCATTAGTATGACATTCAAATATCATTGTTTCTGTTTTTGCCTTTCCTTATCCTTGGTATCTTCTTACATTAGCCAGCTGTCCTATCTCAGCTGTAGAAATATAGCAAATGAAATAGTGGCTGGAAAGCTTCCCATCTTCTGTAACCAAAGAATTTGACATAGATGCGAAATACAGCTTAAGCATCTTGGGAACTAACTGTAGTCATCCTTCTTGTGTCAGGATAGCATGCGACAGGATTTTCACCTGCATGCCCCACATAGGGTGAGGAATAGCATGGTCCAGTGCTAAAAGTGGATTAAGTCAGAATGCTGTGTTGTCTCCTTTCCCCCCTCAGGAAGAGGTGTATGATCTAGGATAAGTCATATAATTTCTCTAGACTTCAGTTTCCTTTTCTAAAAGGCAAGGATACTAATCTCAGTCTGTTTAAGTGAGAGTTGGCTTGATGATTAAGTCCATACTGTATGTTGTATATAAAAGGAACAGTGACCCTAAAACTTCCTATTCCTCGCCTGGCTGGTGTTGCTCAGTTGTCGGAGGGTCAGAGCATCAGCCTTGTGCACCAAAGGGTCTCAGGTTCCATTCCCAGGCAAGGGCACATACCTGGGTTGCAGGTTCTATCCAGTCCCCCTGCCCCCAGCAGGATGCAACCAATCAATGTGTCCCTCTCACATTGATGTCCTCTCCTCCCTCCCTCCCTAAAAGGGACACAGCTGCACAGCACCCGGCAGGAGAGGCTGAAGCAGCATTTGAAGCCCCTGCACAAAGCCAACCAGGAGAAAGAGGCCAAGGTGAACACACCTGCGGGACAGGATCATCCTGCAGGGGACAGTGGACAGCGTGGTGGGTGTCTCCTCCCTCCCTCCCTAAAAGACAGCGGAAAAATATCCTCGGGAACAACAACAAATTCCTCTCCTTTAAAATGTTCAATGGCTATTCAGGTTTTATACTCATCCCTTCCTGTCTAGAATCTTCCAGATAGCTTAGGTTTTAGTACTGAATAGGAAATCGGGAGTAGTGACAGGGTTGCAATATAGATAGATAGCTATAGACCAAAGAAAAGCCAAGGACTATGATAATCATATTGATAAGCAGTCTCCAAACATTAAGAATATGATTAGACATACAATATAAATGAACTTTGAGAGCACTAAGCTAAGAGGCAGGAGACCTACACTCTGGTTGCTTTAATTACATCTCATTAGAGAACCTGGGACTATTTTCTTATTCTATCTAAAATTTTATTCATACTGAAGAATCTACCTGTTTTCCAGTTGTAACAAAGATTTAACTTCTTTTAAGTGATCTGAAAAGCTCTCTAAGCATCTTAAGGAAAGTTGCTAAAATGGAACTCAAAAGAAAAGTGAATTGCCTATTGGATTTGAATCCCAGCTCTACTTCTTGGCTGTAGACCTTGAGTAAGTTATCTAACCTCTGACCCTCAGTGTTCCCAGCAGTAAGTCAAATAAAACTATATTTGCTTCACTCGCGTCATTATGATGATGATTAATTGAGAATATATATATATATATATATATATATATATATATATATATAGTGCTTAATACTCCTAGTACTTTAATGCCATTTTTTCTTTCTAACAAAAACTACCACTTCTTAGCTCCCCTGTGAAATCTTGACCACTGTCATCCAGACTGATCTCTGAAATTCTGTATAATTTAATTTCTTTCATTCCATGCATATTTATTTCATCTAGGCCCAATAAGTCATAAGTTTCCCACAATCCCTTGAGAACACATCAGAAGAGCGTTCAATACAGTATATGCTGATTCACTAAGAGAGGAAGAATCTATTGTGTCAGTCACCTAGGGTCAGTTACTGTGGAGATAGAGAATGCATTCATATGACAAGTGTGGAATTTGGAACAAACCTATGAGCAGAAATGCTTTAAAAAAAAAAAAAGACCCAAAAAGTCCAGCCTATCCTTCCAATCCTTCCAATAGCCAAATGAAAGTCGTAAGACAGTTTCTTAAGAAAGCTTTCTAAGAGGAAAGCATGAAACGCTGGACTGTGTCTAAAAGCTTTGCATAGTTTACTTTGAACTCGTCCTCCTACTATACAAAATAAACTACATGTACCTCCAGCAGCTCATAATCTTCAACATCAAAATGCTATTATGGCCCTAGCTTGTTTTGCTTAGTGAATAGAGCATCAGTCTGAGAACTGAAGGGTCTCGGGTTTGATTCCAGTCAAGGGCATGTACCTTGGTTACATGCTTGATCCCCAGCCCTGGCCAGGGCATTCGTGGAGGCAACCAATCAATGTGTCTCTCTCATACTGATTTTTCTCTCTGTCTCTCCTCCTTTCTTCGCTATCTCTAAAAATAAATGGAAAAAAATCCTTGATTAACAAATAAAATAAATACAAATAAATAAATGCTTATTTTTAAAAATGCTGTTATGCATTGTTGACTTTAAAAGCCAGCCAAATTTCCCCCCAGGAAAATGGGTTTCTTCAGGAACAACAGAATTGTAACCCCGAACATGTAACGGTGGTGGGCCACATGCAAATTTACTAAAACAAAGGAGAGGGAATTATTTTATAGAGGGGAAAGAAGTTGGAAGGGCTGTTAGAAAGAGTTCCTGCTGCTGTGCTTCAAGATCAACTGACAGGGCATGACAGCTTTTACTTCTGGCCTCTCTATTTCATATGAGTTTCTGCTTATTAATTTTTTCCCATCATACCCTAAAAATTCTGAGGGCTAGTTTACTCAGGAAACTGAGACAAGCTCATTGATTAGCCCAAAGCACCATGCAATGTAGCCCCACCACCACCACTGGCTCCCAACTTACCTGTGGTCTCCTCCCACTGTGACACAGCTGTAGCCACCTGATACTGCTCTACTAACTACCTCAGCCAGTTCCTGGTTGGCGAGGCCCACCGAGCGAGGATTTGCTATCAGGTTGTTGTACAGATCATCCTTGGGGACTGGAGTGAAACTCAAATCTCCAAAGTCCTTTAGGTGGCAGCCTAGAAACAAGTGGAGCATGATTAATTGGAAATGGTATTCCAACTCTTACTGGCCTGGGCCAGAAATACTGTAATAACTTGTGACCAATCTCATTTTGTCTCAGTAAAATTCAAAATGTAACATGACTGTCAGGATGACCTCCTAGAAATCCTGTGAGGTAGATCCTAACAGGAATATCATTTTGCAAATGAAGAAAGGTTTTGGAAAATGAAACCCAGAAATGTTAACTGACATTAACAATCACGAAATTTAGAGCAATTAAACCTCTATCCCAGAGTTATAGCATGGAAGTAAAATACCAACAGGATTTAAAGTTAATTTAGGACAAAACTACACATACAGAAATTTTCATGTTATAAACTAGGTCTCAAGGTCACACAGCTGCTAAAAGCCAGAATCGGGAACAAACCAGGTCTTCTGCCCCCAAAGTTTGTATTCTTGACTATGCAGTTGTCTCCTAGAGTCCCACTTAAATATATATATTGATTTCAGAGAGAAAGGGAGAGGGAGAAAAAGACAAATATGATGAGAACTATAGATCAGCTGTCTCCTGCACAACTCCTACTGTGGATCAAACCTGGGATCTCTCATTTGGCAGGCTGATGCTCTATCCACTGAGCCAAACCAACTAGACCCAAAGAATCCCTTTTGATTGCACCACTTTAAGAACCAGACAGTCCTCTCTGAAGAACCAACAAGACAGTGGACATGGAGCTGGAGCAGAAGCAAACCTTCCGCGGTGTGCACCTTGACTCACTGCTGGACGTGGCCTCTTGGCAGCTGTCACGGTGACACAGCTGCACAGCACCCTGCAGGAGAGGCTGAAGCAGCATTTGAAGCCCCTGCACAAAGCCAACCAGGAGAAAGAGGCCAAGGTGAACACACCTGCGGGACAGGATCATCCTGCAGGGGACAGTGGACAGTGTGGTGGGTGTCTCCATTGGCAAGACCTTCACCCAGATGGGATTCAAGCCCAAGATGATTGGCACTACCTGGGTGAGTTCTCCATTGCCTATGAAGCCCATGAAGCAAGGCTGGCCCGGCATTGGAGAAACCCACTCCTGCTTCATTTCCCTCAAGTAGCTTGTTCAGCCAATGAAGGCACTGACTTCTCTTTAAAAAAATAAACAAAACAAACAAACAAAAAAGAACTAGTGATACGTTCTGACAATAAGCTGTAACTTTTCCCCACTAAGGTTTCACATATTTCAAAGAACTGGGATACCGGTCACTACACATTAATTTTTATCTTTGGTGTAAACACTAGTCTTTCCATTTTAGCCATGTTTAGGATGAGGACTAAATAATCTAACTCTAATCAGGAAGAAATCTGAATTACCAGAGAACAGAACATTACCATAGATTGTATCCTTAAGGTCCTGCTTAAACTGAAGTACAGGTACATTGCGGGAGGAGGGGAAGTGGTCACAGGATATACATCTTTTTCCTTTTTTAAAATATATTTTTATTGATTTCAGAGAGGAAGGGAGAGGCAGAGAGAGACAGAAACATCAGATGAGAGAATCATTGATCAGCTGCTTTCTTCACATCCCCTACTAGGGATCAAGCCCACAACCCAGGCATGTGCCCTGACCAGGAATCAAACTGTGATCTCCTGGTTCCTAGGTCGATGCTCAACCACTGACCCACACTGGCTTGGCAGGATAGACATCTTAATATTTGCAGAAATTTGTGATGAAGATTTGGATTAAGACCAGCATGGACCCACCTTGATCAACTAAGGGATCATCATTTAAAGGGATACTGGAAGCAAAACAGAAAACCTTATCCTATTTTCAATTAAAGAATTCAGCTAGAGTTCTATATGTGTCTTTTGGTCACTGAATTTTTAAAAATAATTTTTTAAAAGGCCTAGAACTAGAGATGATCTGGACAACTAAATAGGAGAAAGGGGGAAGGTGTTGAAATAGGAGAAGAAAAATATGACAAGAGACCAAAGACATTAGGAACCTAAAGAAAAAAAGACCAAATAAAACATCTATAAAAATCTTTACAAATCAAGGGGAAAAAGCCATGCATAAAGACATTATGCACTTTACTAAATCTCAAAATATGCAGGACACTTTAGATTTAAGAGAAATTAAGCTTTAACTTTCAAACTAATATCAGATCTTGCCATTGTTGACAACACAGTCTTGGGAAGGGCAGATTTTGAATGGCAGTATCTACTCGTGGATGCTTCTACTTCCACATCCATGTTTATATCAGCACCTACTTAAACCGCATCAAACATTTAGATTCATACTAGCTTTAGGATATCAGGGCATGTCTGGTGTTTTATATGGGTTGTATAATCTAATTAATAATGTTCATATTAAATAATTTTTGAAAACTACTTTTAACTCATTTAATCCTTACATGACCAAGAAGTAGCACATGGAAATTAAAGTGATCAACCTGGTGGGTAAGTGACAGAACTTGAGGAGCACTCAAGTCCAATCATGGAATCTAGGATGCAGACTCAGAGAAGTATGACAACAAATAGTACTTGACTATTATTTACTTATCAGAAGCTGTGGAAAGCTTAAAAAGGAACCTAAAGAGAATTTGGTGGTCTTCTAACAACATTTCAAGGAAGAGACTGAATTTCCTAAAAGGATTCTGGTCATTAAATACTATGTAACTGTGGAGTGGATCACTAGATTAACTCACAGGCTGGATAATCAGTTCTTCATAATTATGCAACTCCATTTTCTCTGATTGCTTGTTCAAGGAACAGGCCTCTGGTTATTTAGTTTCCCAGTTGCCCTCATATAAGCAAGAGGGCTTCCTGACAGTGGATCCTGGAAGGCTGTTGCTCACCATAATTACACATACGCATTTGGGGTTATACATCATGGTTAGCATGAATCTCTGGGTCTGAGAGCCTGCTAAACACTGCACATATCAAGAGTTCTGGTCCTGACCGGTTTGGCTCAGTGGATGGAGCGGCGGCCTGCAGACTGAAAGGTCCTGGATTCAATTTCAGTCAAGGACATGTACCTTGGTTTCGGGCACATTCCCAGTACTGGGGGGTGATGCAGGAGGCAGGTGATTGATGTTTCTCTCTCATCAATGTTTCTAACTCTCTATCCTCCCTTCTTCTCTGTGAAAAAATCAATAAAATATATATATTTAAAAAAAGTTGTGTCCATTGATGATCAGACCCTCCTGAAGGAATTAATGTCTTGAGAGGCCTTATTTGAATAGCCTACCCTGAATAACTCCCAACTCTGCTCTTTCATTTCCACAATAAGTTTCAGGGAACAACTAGGGAAAATGAAGTGAAAAGAAATTCAGTGACAATAAGGGTGTTCAAGGAATGACGCCTACAACAAGTAAAGTTAGTACCAGCACTATGCTAACTTTCATTGTTTTCTTTCTTTACTGGTAATAGAAATTTTTTGTAAAATTGGTAAGTGCCTAAGGATGACAGTCCCTATCCTACTCTCTAGGCTTGACTACTCTATCCTTGAAGACCTTTATGCACAAACATAATCTGTACTATTATTTTATTTTGTGTACTATTCTTTTAAATAAAGTTGTGACAGTAGGCCAAACTGCTCTAATGAACCTTCCCCAAAAATAATGGCTCAAACACAGTAAATTGGTTTCTTGTTTATTTAACATCCAGGTAGACATTATAGGTCAGCAAGAGGCTTCCCTTCACGCAGTGATTCAGAGACCAAACTTCTTTCACTTGTGGTTCTGCCACGCCTAGGGTCCCAGGTTCAAGGCAGTGGGAGAGGAAGAAGAATTGAGAAGGCACACCTCTGTGTTTAAAGGCCCTGCTCCAGAAGTGACACATCACTCCTGCTCACATGACATTAGCCAGCAAGTGCAGGTCTAAGCTATGTCCAGAAGATGATGAGAATGGATTTTGGCAGATAGCAAAATGAGTTCTTTTAAATTCTATTGCCATAGCTTTTTGTTTAAACATATTATAATTATTATTATTATTATTATTATTATTATTATTTTGAGAGAGAGAGAGGAAGGGAGAGGGAGTCAGAGAGACATCAATGTGAGAAAGAAACATCAATCGGCTGCCTCCAGCATACCCCCTACCACACCTCCTCCTGGGGATTGAGCCCGCAACCCAGGCATGTGCCTTGACAGGGAATTGAACCAGTAACCTTTTAGTACATGGGATGATGCCCAACCAACTGAGCCACACCTGCCTGGGCAGCTGCCATAATCTTTAATAACTAAGAACTCAAATATTAAAGCTTATGCTATGGATCCTAACTATGGTAATCCTAACCTCTAATCATTAGAGCTGAATCAGTGACTATACTATGCCATCCTGCCACAGCCTCTTAGGAGCTTTCTCCTCTAACACCTACTGTTCCTATAGCATTGTAGCACCCAAAGGACTAGTAGAGTAGAGCACAGCATGGGTTTCTAAAGATGAACAAGGGCCTGAAAGAAGAACTATACATTCCATGTTTGGAAAACAGTTAAGCAATTTAATAGAAATGAGAAGTCTGCATATTGGAGCAATGCAATAGGTTGTAGAGAACATGATTTGCAACCCACAGGCCAGAGTTTCTGAGAAGTGAGGCGGCTACTGGGATGTTATTTATTTATTTTTTTGGTAAGAGTCTAAATGAACTAAGTAATAATGAAGCTATGACTTTGTCAGAGTGCTGTGGCAAATCTAGTTCAAAAGGCACAAGAAATTTTTTTATAGATTTTTAAAATTTTTATCTTTAATATGTTTTATTGATTTTTTACAGAGAGGAAGAGAGAGGAGTAGAGAGTTAGAAACATCTAAGAGAGAGAATCATCGATCAGCTGCTTCTTGCACATCCCCTACTGGGGATGTGCCCGCAACCAAGGCACATGCCCTTGACCGGAATAGAACCCGAGACCTTTCAGTCCGCAGGCTGACGCTCTATCCACTGGGCCAAACCGGTTTCGGCTAATTTTTTTTTTTTAATCCTCATCCAAGGATATTTTTCCCATTGATTTTTAGCGAGAGTGGAAGGGAGAGGGA